TCCAACTAACTGCTGGAACCGATGACACTATGATATCGGTAAAAGCCTTGAAGTTACTGTATGAGACAAAATATGCCTTTGTTTATGAGGAAAGACATCAGACTAGTGTAATATAGGAAGTACAGTATATTAGGATAAGTCCTCCTCCAACTATTACTCCACTATTAACAGTATATGTGTGTAAACGTGTAATATAGGAAGTAGAGTATATTAGGATAGTTACCCATACAAACATTTACTCGAGGATCGTTTTCTCTAACGTCATTTTCTACAAGTCTACGGGAATTACTCGCTGTTTTTCATATACTGTTACGTGAAATAGAATGAAAATTTTCCTTAACCATTGACCTGAATGGTAAATTCCTTTGACAGTTGATGAAATGCGCTCTCGTAACCTTTAAAACATTACTCGGCAGATGCTGGGATGAACGAAAGATCCCCAGTGGCTGAAACTTATCATATATGAGTGTGACCTTCAAGACCCAGTACATGCCCACACTTATCAACAGTGCGTCATAGAGTCTTCACCGACCGCCCAAGCGACTAACGAACCGATCAATGGCGAATACGATGAAAGTAAATATAATGTTAAATGATAAAGTAAAATAAATAAATTCGGTTACGCTACGTATCTTAAATTCACTAATGCTCCGCTCTCAGTTTAGAAATTGAAAGCGGAACATTAATGAATTTACAGTAACTAATCTAACCTAATTTAACTATTATAGGATTTAAAACACCAATGCAAATATTATATGTTATCATAAATTATGTTTTATTATCTAGAAACACTTCGGGGATTAGGTATTAGTAATTCACACTTACCCGACTAGGCGCGGTGATCCATATCCTAGCGTTCATGGTCTCAGTTCACCGCCGAATAACCACAAAGAATCTCGCGAATTTCACCAAAAGACACAAAAACCTTAATGACTAGACCATGACATTTAAAAAAAAAAACATTCCACTGACAGGAGCAAGAAACTCAAAGAATTCAAAAATAGATAAAAAAATCATAAAAAACGAGTCTTCAGGTAATATTTAAAAGGAAAACTTGTATATTTTTACGCTACCAGACCCCATTAGAACATCCGGCTAGTATGGTGGGTTATGATGAAGATGAGGGGGAGGTGACTGCTGAGTCTTGAGGATATAGCAAGCAACACCTCCTCCTGCCTGGCGGTCCTCGCTCCCGTCGTCATCCTGTGTGAGTGCGAATCTCCGGCGGTCACCATTTGTGGGGTTCGAGATGTTGGTTCACACTCAGGATGGGATGGAGAAAGGAAACTCACAATGTGCTCTCTGTATGCATGTTGTATTGGATGTATAGTGCAGCTTGGTGCTGGGAAGTGGCAGCGTGGTTACAAGCGTGATGTAGAGAGAGCTGGTTGGTGAGGGTGCTCAGAGGAGGACCAGCTTGTGGCTCGCCATGCTCGCCGGCGGGAGCGAGGACCACCAGGCAGGAGGTGGAGGAGGAGGTGTTGCTGGCTGGTTGGTGTAGGTAGAAAGAGAGAGGTAGGTCACCACGAGGTCAGGTCTTATATAGCGGAGGTAGGCGTGGCTTAATAGTTGACCTCCGTGATGTATGGCGGCGCTGGTTGACCTAGACCACGAGGCATACACTGGGGAATTCGCGGGGTCGGCTACTCAGCGACAAACAGCGTTTGTAGGGGAGGTATCCACTACAGTGGATAAGGGTGCTGCTGTCGGGTCTTCTGCATCTTTAGTGTACTTATTTTATTTAAACATCTTCGCCATTTATCGGCTTGTTAGCCACTTAGGAGGTTGGTCACGTCTCTGTTAGGTACTGTTGGCACTGTGGGCATGGACTGGCTCTCTGTTATACACTGTTGGCATCAATTTCACAACTACCACCATCACTACCACAATCACCATGACCAAAAAAAATAAATTCAAGGTTCTATAGTTCAATATATCTTACCTACTTTATATATTATCTGGATTGGAGGAATTAGATAAGTGTTATGCATATTTTTATCCAGTTATGATAGTAATTAGGATTGTATCAGGTGGATGAGTGGCTCTGCTGGCCATAATACTCACGGTTCTTCTCCTACACAGACATCTTGATCTACCTAATGTTTACCCAGTTGTCTCTCGTAGGTTGGCAGGTACAGGGGCGTGACCACTTGTTTCCTTACGTCCACAATACTCGTTTGAGATAATTTTTGTCTTTATTTGGTATTTTGCCCTTTTTTTATATTATGTACAGTACATTGTTTTCATTAGTGTGTGTGTTTGCTTATACTGGTGTCAGTCTATGTGTACATGTGTGTTTATTAATCATAGAATAAAAAATACGACAATGAAACACACAAATTACTTTTCATTGATTTTTATTATGAATATTCTAAATACATATTAACACATGAAGAATGAGTAAGAAATGAAAAAAATAATTGGGAGTAAATTATTCTATATACTCTTTTTTACTTTTAATGCAGGAGACCCTAAGTTATGTGTATAGTCATCAGACAGATGAACACTTAAAATTATTATACTAAATGAGTGTGACATCGAAAGTGACTTGAGGAAATCCTCATGACATCGAATGACTTCACAAATCTTGAGTCACCATAAAAAAAAATAAATAAAAAAAGTACGTTTGTTCCATCACAATATAAATATATATGTGCCACGATGAGAAAATAAGTCTCGTACAAAATACTGTACCCACCACTGTTTTAGCTCAAAGCCTTTATTATTATTTTTCTGGGATTAACAAATAAAATAAAAGTCCGTTAATGTGCTTCCATGAACGGACGAAATGAGGAACGGACCGACGCGTTTGTTGTGCGAGGCGTAAACAATGTCGGAATAGTTAACGGGTGTTCTTAAATGCAGCTTTGGGGGAGGTCCTGGAATGCCTCTAGCCCATGAAGAAAATAAACATTGCATTACAAGCAAGAAATAATGGGGCACAAAATTCCTGTATAGATTAAATTAAATAACCCGACACGTACACAAAGCCAAAATTATTTATATCGACAGTCTTCTTTACTCCTTCTTGTTGATTGACTTAGTCAATTTTCCTGAACTGTGTATAACTAATGACTGCCCAGTGACTGTTAATTAAAGTTATTCCCCCCAAAATTTGACTGTTAATTACACTTTAATCCCCACAAAAAATAACTGTCACGGTAAGGATAGGTGCAGTTACTTATCCACAAATATTAAAAAAAAATAATAATAATCCACAATGAGACAGACAGACAGACTACTACAGATCAGAACTACTAAGAACCATTCGATGCCTCATACAATGCCAAAAGAAACCCCCAGACCCCGAACCCAAGTGACATTATATCAATAACTGTGGTGGTGGCAGCGGCCAAAATAATAATCGCACAGAGGCACAGGTCTCGCTCGGCTCCGCACGCACGTTAAAAGAAAACAAAATCATCTCTCCTGAAATAATTACGTGACGGTATATGGACGCAGAAACTTAAAATCCAGAACGACGGGATCAACACACACACACTCGCACACTTATGGTTTGTACTGTTTTTCCCGGGGATATTTGGGAACTACTTCTACAGGGCGTCTGGGAAATATGCACCGTACACACGCGCACATACACTCATGCACGCGCTGCCTTACAGACTTTTTTTTCCCGGAGATCGCGTGAAATGCTTGTAGGACAGCAATGTTTTCCTCACCTGTCGGAGACCTCGCAAATCAACCAGGGAGGACAATTTTGCTGTTGTAATGCAAACGTCTACACGCGATCACCACCATCCTTCCCACACACCCTGTACATATTCTCACCAACTGCCATGTATAATAATGATCTTATACACGTCGTTCATTTTGATTGATGAAAAATATTGACATCGTACATTACTACCCAATTCGGACACAATTTGAACATTCTTTCGGAGTTGATGAGTATAAAAGTTTTTCCTGTCCAATTGCATCAAATATTCACGATGACATTTTCACTTGGATGAAATTTCTTCTTTTTTTCTTTTTAGGTGTAAACTTGGACAACCTCTTACGTGTGGTGTTCACACCCTTTTATCTCTCACCTTCAGGATGGATTTACAGTATTTACATTCTTTTACAATCTAAAGTCTTCATGATTTACATTTTTATTTTTTTTTTACAATCTGAGGAAGTGGTTTACTGGGATGTTTCTTGGCGTTACTTTCCAATTTTGATTTGTTTCACCTTTTTTACCTAACCATATTAAACCTGACTATTCTGACACTGTCCTTACTTACACTGTATCTTAGATCCTCCTGCAAATCCACACACACACAACACCAAGATATCCAGCAGATGTTATATTTTTTTTGTTTTTTATTTTAAATAATCCAGTTTTTTTTTCTAAATTGCCCAGAAAAAAAATAATAAAAAACATTCAAATATTTCCAGTTAGTGAGTTAGTGAGTTAGTTGCAACGTCGTCATTTTAATTGGCCTTAGCAGCTTGGCGTCTCAACAGGATGTAGATTTTCTCCTTTATCCAATCCTTGTTATAGGGTGCATAGGTGTTAGTGCTCTTCTGGTACCTGTAAAGACGAGGCCAACGTAAATAAACATAAACAAACGTACACATATAAATATATAGTATATGTAGCTAATGGGCTAAATCTATCCAAATGTCTATGTTTTTTCGACAACTTAGGCAGACGGGAGGGAATGAGTAAATTATTTCCGACAACTTAAATAGACAGAAACAACTTAAAACTATAGCATAAGTGACAAAGTGGGTCTATAGTCTATCCTTGATACCATGATCAAAATAAGGAATCATATGAAAACTAGACACCCGAGATTATTTCACCTGATTATGAAAAAACCTTAACTTAACCGACCCCTTCAGATAACTTTAAGCATCACATGATATAAGGTAGGATGACTAATGTTCAGGTGACTATGTTGACTTAATCCTGTGACTATGATGATGATTTAACCTCTGGATTATGATGACTTAATCCCTTGACTATGATGACTTAACCTCCCCGAGTCCATTGTCATCGTAATCAAGCTAATCACAACCAGACTCAGGTACTCAAACAATTAGACACAGGTACTAAACAACCACACACACACATGTACTCAAACAAACACACACATATTCAAACAAACAAACACACACACATGTACTCAAACCACACACACACAGATACTCAAAAACCCACACATACTCAAACAAACACACACACGTACTCACAACACCACCACCACCCCACTCACACTAGGCAGGAGAGGTCAGCCAACTGGTCAATAAAATCGAAGAGTTGTGATATGTCGTAGGTGATGCTTGGGGTGTTGGGATTCATCCGCTTCAGATGCTCCTCGTAGATCTTACACACTCCTGCTTAGGGGTTGGGGGGGCATAATTTATCATTAATATGGGCGGAGAAGAAATAATAATAACAATAATAATCAGTCGGGTCGTTTGGTGTCGTTGCATCGTTTAAGTCGTTTTGGTCTGGTTGAATTGACCGGGTCGTTTGGTCTGGTTGAATTGTCCAAGTCGTTTGGTTTCATTGAATCATCTATGTCGTTTGGTCTGGTTGAATCGTCTAAAAATTTAATTACCAAGAATAATATGTAATTAGTCAGTCATTTACTTACATTTAATCTTACTAAAATTCTAATTAATTAGCTAAAAGTATCAAAAACTAATCACACAGTATATCTAATCACTTAAAGCTTAATTACTCTAACTAATTACCGATCTATGTGTACAAAAATTAATCGGCCACATGACGGTACATTTAATTCTCCAAAACATAATGAACTGTTAGATTAGACACCCCAGGAAACTCTATAAAGTATACATGCACTTTATATATACATGATGAACTGTATACCTGCATTGTCTACACACATGCTGAACTGTATACCTGCCTTGTCTACACACATGCTGAACTGTATACCTGCATTGTCTACAGTATATACATGCTGAACTGTATACCTGCCTTGTCTACACACATGCTGAACCAATGGTTAACTCTATATTTGACTGTATATATCTCTCCAATCTGTTAATTACTCCTATTAATCTCAAGGTACAGGTTAACGATGCGATCACACTTCTCAACATCACCAGGCATCCTCAATGGAATCCCAGCCTGGGGTATTTAAACTAACGCACAGTGTGTATACATCGAGCGATACAGTGGAGGAAAAAACAGTGTAACAAAGTGCGTAATAAACATACCGAATCTACAAGAGGTGTGGTGTGTTATCTTAGGCCTAGGAAGTTGTTATCTTTAGCTCTGATTACACAGGACACTCAATAGATCACTGTATTAGTTAACCAGAGGACACTACACCCCCTCCAAGCTTGTTTAACCTCACTATTAACCACCCTAATGCTATTTTGGGGATAAGTGGTTAGATTAGGATAGAGTTGGTTGAATCAGATTAAGTTAGATGTGGTTAAATTAAGTTAGATTAGATTAGGTTAACTTTTACTAGAATTGGTTAGGTTAGAGTAAGTGCAGATTAATTTAAGCTAGATTAGGTTAGATTAGGTTAAGTTAGGCTAAATTACGTTAGATTAGATTGGATTAGGATAGCATTAGGGCATTTAAAAATCAAGTGAAATAAACAACCAAATCTACGGCTAATCACCACAAGCGACATCACACCAATAAAGTCCACAACCAAACAACAAATAACAGCAAAATGACCCTTATGGCCAGTTAGCTAATAAAATAATGGAACGACAAAAATAAAAAAAAGAATAAATAAAACACAGGGTAGGGGGGAGTTACAGGGGAGTCATGAGGCACAGGGGGAGTTACAGAGGTGGAGTCACAGGAGGGCATGGGAGTTACAGAGGGCAGTCACAGGGAGGGCACAGGGGGCAGAGGCAGTCACAGGGAGGGCACAGGGGGGGCAGAGGGCAGTCACAGGAGGGCACAGGGGGTACAGGGCAGTCAGCAGGGAGGGCACAGGGGGGTACAGAGGGCAGTCACAGGGAGGCACAGGGGGGGGAGTTACAGAGGTGAGCCAGGGAGGGCACAGGGGGGGGGAGTTACAGAGGGCAGTCACAGGGAGGGCACAGGGGGAGTTACAGAGGGCAGTCACAGGAGGGCACGGGGGGGAGCAGAGGGCAGTCACAGGAGGGCGCAGGGGAGCAGGGCAGTCATGTGAGGGCAGGGAGTTATGAGGGCAGTCACAGGAGGCACAGGGGGGAGCTACAGAGGGCAGTCACAGGAGGCACAGGGGGGGGAGCTACAGAGGGCGGTCACAGGGAGGGCACAGGGGGAGTTACAGAGGGCAGTCACAGGGAGGGCACAGGGGGGAGTTAAGCAGAGGCAGTCACAGGGAGGGCACAGGGGGGGAGCAGAGGGCAGTCACAGGGGAGGGCACAGGGGGGGGAGTTACAGAGGGCAGTCACAGGGAGGGCACAGGGGGGAGGGGTAACTATACAGCCCAGGATTATCAACATACCTTCCATACACTCGTTCACGCTTTCGTAATCGGAAAACGTCCTGGTCTCTGGTTTGGGCCCAGGCTGCACTAGTAAGATCGTATGAGCCTGTGAATTAGTGTAAATTTGTGTAAAAAAAAAAAAATCTCCATACTGTGTGTAAATCAAATAACATCTTTGTATATGTGTGATTGTGTAAAAATTCATAATGTTTATATAAATTCAAGTGTAAATATTTACTGTGTTTAGTAGGTACCGGTAAGTAACTCAACATAAACATTCCATAACTATATATATAAATGTTTAATATAGATACAGCAATACAATATCTCATCAGGTTTGGTATATTTGTATTTTGATATATTACGTATTTCCTGACACACGGCAACACACAACAATAATATACCATCAATTAAACCTCAGTTACAATATAGTAAGTAATATTAACTCACACAGTATGGGAATAAATTGCTTATAAAATACCAATAAACCAAATAAAATCCTCTCTCACAAGGAAGAAAATTTCATTGAGAGTATATTTTAAGTCATGACTCAAGAAATAATTAAATCTTTGTGTTTCAATTGTAATACCTAACCTAACCTAACCAATAGGAGAGAGAATTAACTACACCAGGTAGTTGTTAAATGCTGGAACGACCTGCTACCATATGTTATCAGCTCACAATAACCAATCACTGTCCGTTAAATATTTCAATAGAGTGAAAAAGGATAAAGTAACTTACTCGAGATAAACCAACGAGAGGTTCCCACTACACACTAACCAATCTACTATATTTAAGCTCACTGTATCTCCTCTCAACCACTCTCTACCCCATCCCTCTCACACCTTATCATTTATTACAGCTCATAAAGACTCATTAAACACTTTACCATAATGAAAATTGATAAATTAAATTCCTCACGAGATGGATCAACCACAAACCAGCTTTACCATTTTAACAACTTACAACCTCTTAAAATCAATGTAACACCACCTAACTACTCTCTATCTCATCCTCCACATACATAATTATTTCCCACAGCTCATAAGACTCATTAATCAGCTTACCATTGCGAAAAACAGGTAAAATAAAGGTGTGACAACGTTGACTGAACCTTCCAAAACAAGACAAGCCGCTCAGCCTCTCTCCTTCCCATCCCCCGCCGGCCTCCCTCTCCTCTTATCCCAGGAGAGACAACAACAACCAGTCTTCATTAATTACTAACTTTAAAACACACTAATATTAAATTTCTTTAACTTAAAAAATTTCTATTCCTCATGATAATAATTTCTAATAAGATTTCTATCCTAAAATGGCTTTAATTTACTTAGCTATTTATGTTATTTAATGAACATACAATATATTTCGTGATATTATGTATGTTTTAGTGAATATTTATTTGAGTGGTTTATTTTGATGTGTTTTATGATATATTAAATATTTGTAGTCTATAATTATGCTGAAAAAGTTGTTGTGGTTATTTCTTAAAGAATGACAGACCAGTTTAAACGATCTGAACAAAAAATATAATAAATTGATTAAAATAGACAAAGTAAGAAAATAAACCCACATCTTGAACAAAAATTAATTCCTTGTAATATATATTAAATTATTTTAAACTCTAATAGGTGTAAATAAACAAACAACAACAACTTTATTATTTATACCAAACAACAATATTAGTCTCACAGGATAAAACTGACCAATCACAGACAACTAAACACCCACTTCCTAAGATACTATTGGTCAAAATATCCCACAACCAACCAACCACAGACCGACCATGTTTCCCTTCCTATCTTGCTATTGGTCTATATATCCCTTACGTCATAACTTACATCCCCAGCCTCCTCTAGCATTGGTCAATCTATCCATGACGTCATAAATGTTGTAGTGTTTTGGTTCCTGAAGAAGTTTAGATCTCGAGCACCAAATTACTAAGACCTTCTAAGGTCATATAAGCCTTGGGAAGGTAGGTAAGAGGCTCATAATGGCGTTTTAGTCTCATTAAGGCTTTAGAAATGAGTTAGTGATGCTTAATGGCGTTATAGAGGTAATTGATTATAGGCCACATAGCTCCATTAGATGATAGAAGACCAGCCATTGTTTTACGTGTATTAATTTCTGTTGTATATTCACGAGTATATAATTTTCTCCCAGCTTTTAAAATGCCTTAATTAATAATGCCTTAGAGTTATAATAATGTAGTGTGTTAGGTCTTCATTATTTACAACATACATTATCCCACGCCCATATAATTATTGTATATTACTAACACAACTTTTTAACAATGTCATAATGTCTAAATAAATTAATCCAACGTAAAACCCCCAATTAAAAATAAAAAAATCCAAGTTTATCAGAATTTACGAGATATTTCCCTTCAAACTCAATTTGACGTTGAGTGAATAGGCTTTTGTCGAGGATGATTATTTAATACGAATTATCGATTATTTTCCTCTTGATTACTTGTATTCTCTGACTTTTAAAATTAACTACGGTAATTTATGGTGATTTTTAACAAGAACGAAGCCCAGGGTCAGGTTTGCCGCCTCGTTCAACTGCTGTGTTAATTTGACGGGTGGCGGATATAACGATGTATAATTAATTTCAGGAGTATTTTCCTTATTTTGTTAGTTTTTGTTAATTTGTAAAATATTATTTGTTTGTAATATTTTTTTCATTACGTTGATACGAGGTTTACATTATTTATTCGTGCAAAGGTTTTAATGCACGTACGGAATCACTTGAAGAATCTCCACCCCAGCTTATTTCACCTTAAGATTAACCACCTTAACCTAACCTAACCAAACTTAACCTCAACCGATGACTAAACAACCTAACCTAATAAAATAATGGTTGCCCCTCGTGTAATGACGATGGCCGGCCCAAGGGCCACCTAGGCGTAAATTTGTTTAAGGTGTAGAAGCTGTCACCAACATAACCACTCTCTGAGTTAACGAGCTGGCTGACCCAGTGCCAAGGAATAGTCCGAGAAGACCAGACAACTCGTCAACTGCACTGGCTAAGTATTACCTCGGAACACGATCCACAAATTGATAAACATCCAGGTCCCCAATTACTGCTAGGTAGATGGAGGCAAATGGCATAAAGAAACTAGCCTATACCGGTAGTTTCACCCTGCCCGGGGATCGAACCCTTGTCCACATGCTTGCGAGACGAGCATGCTGACCATTACACTACAGGTCGCCATTAACTTAACCTAACCAAACCGAACCCAACCCAAATCCTTAACCTCGGAAAATCAATCATCATCACGGCTAAACAACCACACATTCTATCCTTCTATTTTCCATCATGATAGTATCGACCTCTCCTGCCAAGCCTTCAATTGGATCATCACCGGGCACTACGGATAAGGATTAGAGATTATTGATGGATTAGAGCAGTTAAATCATGATGGAGAGGTCAAGCATCATTAAAAAGTGGAATATAATGTGATGGTCAGATATTTATTTGGTTACATAGTCGTTATGTGCTGCTGTATAATTATTTGTATTTTTACATTTTGAATTATTTTTAAGATAGGTTTGTGTGAAGAAATTTGAGTATGTTTTAAGGATAGTACAGGAGAGTTGATTAAAAGCATGACTGGTGTTGGTGTGTCAATATTTTAAGTGTTTTTGATCATGTATAAAATATTAAAGAGTTGTGTGTGTGTTAAGCTGGTTTATTAGAGTTAGTGCTTGTGTGGAACTGAGGCTTGAAGGATTACATTATATTTATGAATGTCTTTTTACTTTACTGTATATTCCAGGATTCTTAAAGTTGATATTCATTTATATATGTCTCATTCAAGTCTTGTATTATAATGTTTTATTTGCCAGATAAATTATTTTTCAGTTGTTCACCATTAGTGGAGAGTGAGTCTCCTTCAGAGGTAAGTTTGATGTGAGAGCTAACCAGCTAGTGACAGATGTGAACTAACGTGTGTTTTTGCCAATAACCCGTTTACAGGATAAGGGGACAAGATCCTCTCGCGGGCGTTGTTTGTTTGTGTCATCGTCGGACCTCCATTGTTGTTGTTGTTGGGCCTATGTTTGGGCCAGACGCTGGACAATCCTCCCTGCTGGTCCCTCCCTCCCCACCTCCTCAGGGACAAGGTCGAGGAAGGTACTACTACCCCGAATCGGTAGCGTCTCAGCTCTACCCAGATATAGGAACACTGACTGCTGTGCATGGGCCTGCGGTTAGTAGGAAATGGTACATATAACTATCCTGTAGTAGTGTACAGTATACATTTACCCATAGCCTACTGTACTTTACTGTGATCTCTATTGCGACGCTCTCATAACTTCCTCACATAGACTGTCGGCTGCACCACACGAGCTTCTTCATAGCTTCTGTCCTCTTGCGTTCTTTTGTTTCATCCTCTGCATCACTGTGGACTGAGGCGAGGTGATCTGTTCCTCGCCCTTAACCAGTGCCTTATAACCCTCAGGGATGGCTGTATCTACTCTGATTATTGAATGCCTTTATTTATTTATGGTGTGTAGCGAGTAATGACCCCGTGTAAATGTTTGATTCACGTGAAGCTTTTGATGGTGTTACGTTGTGTATGGGAATTTATTGTTTGGTGAATGTGATGGTTTTAATTCCCTTATTCCCTTCCTTACTCTTTGTTAATTATTAATTCATTAACTATTTTAGTGTGTTTTAAGTACAGTATTTTGTAAGTTTAGTTGTAAGTAGTTTAGTAATGGACGGATGATTGACAATAAAGTAAAGCCTCGATATAATGATTTTACCTGTACTGACAATACGTTTTCATCACTGGCATGTATTGTATTGTGCTGTATTGTATTGTATTTATCTTATATATTTTATGATGATCTGATTTTCATTGTGTAGTTCAGTAGAAATGTATTTAACTTTTTTATAAATACATTTAGTTGTGGTATTAAGTTTTTATTTAATTTGGTTAAAATATATTTACTTGGTTATTATTTGTGGTATATATTTAACTGTTTTGTTATTTTAGTGTTAATGTGTGTGTATGTTTCTCTGTGGTGGTTGTGTTAATGTGTGTGTATGTTTCTCTGTGGTGGTTGTGTTAATGTGTGTGTATGTTTCTCTGTGGTGGTTGTGTTAATGTTTCTCTGTGGTGGTTGTGTTAATGTGTGTGTATGTTTCTCTGTGGTGGTTGTGTTAATGTGTGTGTATGTTTCTCTGTGGTGGTTGTGTTAATGTGTGTGTATGTTTCTCTGTGGTGGTTGTGTTAATGTGTGTGTATGTTTCTCTGTGGTGGTTGTGTTAATGTGTGTGTATGTTTCTCTGTGGTGGTTGAGTTCTATAATGTATTCTGAACATTTATTGAGCATGTAGTGAACTGGTAATTGGATGGCAGTAATAACATCTGATCTGGGAGTGTTTTGGTGTAGAAGCCCAATAATTACTGCACAGGATTATAGTACAACAGGCTAGAAGTAATCAGCAGAGGATACAACATGATAACAGGACTTCCTCTCCGTGCTTGATTCACATGAGTAGAGATTCAGTGGGACAGAATATCATAGCCATTTTTTAAAGAAACATTGAAGGTATTGCAGAAAATATAACTATAGTTCTTAAAAGTATTAGTTTGAATGTTTTAGAATGTGCAAAGAAAAATACTCTTAAGAATTTGTCAAAGGAAGTTAAAGAAATTTTATCTGGTTAAGTGAATTTTGTCAGTCATCTGCCCAGGGCAAATAAATGTTCCATATAATCTAGACAGCTGGTTGATAGTTTTCTGTACACTAGTGACTTAATAACAAACTCTGTCCATAGGTTAATGCTGTTTAGAAATAGAACTTAGTGATGAAAGATGATATTAATTGAAAGTACAGGTACAGGTAGTTACTGGTAGTATGAAGACTTGATTGTAGTACAGGAGTGATAAATACAGTACTGTACTATAGGTAAGTTAAGAAATGATAAGGGAAAATTACAGTAGTTCAGATTTATATGTGAATTATCTACACCACTAACCTGTCTCATACGAATGTGGTTTGAGCCCATAGCAAGCACACAGACCTAATACTGTACCATGCAAGCAACCTAACCTAACCTAATGTACTGACTCGCATGTATGCTGGCCATTCATATGGAAAGGTGCCGACTGCTGTATTCCCATTGGCTCTGTGATTATCCCGAACTGTCCACTGTTATTAAGTATTTTGTGTATGGTGTTATAGATATTATTGTGTACTGTATGTATTTTGGATAACCTGAAGAATCTCCACCCCAGCTTGTTCCACCTCTAGATTAGCTAACTGCCCTGATGCTATTGGTGGGGTGAGGTTAAGTTAAGATAGTTTTTAGGTGAAATACATCTGGGGTGGATATTCTTCAGGTGTTGCTATATTTCAATGAACAATATATTCACATTTATTGATTGATTTAATGTTACTTAATCTCTTCTTGATATTTAAGTCTGTTTTAACAAGTACAGTTTAGTACAGTAGTGTGACATTACAGTAATTACAGACATGATATAGATACAGTGTTAGTTCAGTACTAATGAATATATACTTTCCTTCTTGATGTATTTCTTTGAGGTAATATATACGAGTTAGATTGAATTAGAAGTAAGGATGATTGTGGTTTGTTGTTTTTGATTTTGACATAGAAATATTTGACTAATATAGACTGTGATGGTCATTGGGTTTTTTTAAATTGAAGTAGGAATATGTTATAGTTAGCTGCTGTTCTTGAGATAGTGTTTATTAATGTATAATTTTACAGAACTTAAAGTTAATGAGTCATGAAGGTTTGTAATTACATTTTTTAGTTTTTTAATCACCGACGCTGTACATCAGATGCTGCACATACACACACACACTAGACACAAGCGCTTTGTTGAGCTTTATTTCTCGTTTGATTTACATATTCTTTGTTTTATCTAGACGTCCACACACTACAAAAAGTATCTTTACGATTTTGTGTTAGACAAAATTGACACAACGGACGGATGATTTTGACAACCCTACCGAGAAAGTGGGAGTCGCGGCGTTCATTTTGAGATTCATCTGACCCCCCTCCGTAAAGATACTTTATTGGAGTGTGTGTGCATGTAACATTTGATCTCAAGAATAAATTGGAGTCGTGATAATGCTGTATTTGTTATGATGGTATAAGTAATGGCTCGTTTCCACCAGATTTCCATGCGCTTGGTGCCGTCGACAACCAATCCAATGGGGATGTATACGTTACGTCAGCTACACTTGAGTCGGGCTAAGCTGAAGGCCTCGAGTCGAACATCCGCTCTCCTCTCCGGATTTGCGATGGTACTGTATTTTAAAATCAATTCGTAGTGGAAAGATTCTAGACGTGAGGCTATATTGTGATTGTTATTTTAGCTCTGTTGATGATTAGACGCAGCTTATTTCAACTGATGATTTAAACACCCACATGCTAAATGTGGGGGTTAGTTAAGCTTGATGTATTTAGGTTAATGATGAAATTTAGACACCCCAGTTTATTTCACCTGCTGATTAAACACCTTAGGTCTAAAAGAGGAGGGTTAGGTTATGCATTCGGGTGTTCAATCAGAGGTGAAGAAAGCTGGAATATTTATACTGAATCACCGCACAAACAAGTCAGACTGTATGTTACGTATAATAATCTTTCTTATTTCTTCTTAATTTAATTTTTTGGTTTTTTAATTGTCATTTGTCTTCTTTGTCTCATAATTATTTAATTTTCCTCTTCTTTTCCTTCCTCCTCCTCTTATTATTATTGTCATCACTTCATTCTCCTTATTCCCCTTTCTTATTTCTTCCTCTCCTCCTCTAGGTAGCGATGGTGGAGCTTCAGCTCACGCAAAGTTGCAATGCGGAACAGAACCCAGAGGCTCACAACTGCAGCAAGGTTCCCGAAGGCCTGTTGGTAGCCTACAGCATCTGCACGACTCTCCTTGTGGCGGTGCACCTACTGGCTCTCATGATCTCCACCTGCGTCCTGCCCCACGTGGAGGCCTTCGCTAGCATGGCGCACGTCGACTCCATGACCAGCCTGCACGGCACCACGAACATCGCCGAGTCGCCTCACCTCACCATGCACAGGTGAGCGATGTGACATGTAGTGGTGATGTGGTTTGGTGTGAAGGTCTCTTGTGTGTGGCATAGACAGCTCTCTTTCTCTCTCTCTCTTCTCTCATGTTTATTCTTTGTCTTCTCTCTCAGTCTGTCTCTCTCTCTCTCTCTTTTTACATGCTTAGCGACCTGTTAAACCTTCGCAATTTAGTGTACTTGTCAATACTGTTTGCCGATGATTATGTTCTCGTGGTCAAAAATCCTCAGCATTTCTTCAATTTCAAACAACTTTATTCTCCTCTCACCATCTGGGGGAACTGATATATTTCTGAATATATTTTGTGATTATTAATATACTTTTGGGGTAATATAGATTCACTTTATATAGGAGGTATTCAATTCCTTCACTATGGACTCTACTGTACAGTTATCATACAAGGTTTACTCACTGCCAAGTGTTTAATTGTTCTTCTTACAAATACAAGGACAAGTATGTGTACAGATAGAACAAGTATGTATACAGATAGAACAAGTATGTATACAGATAGAACAAGTATGTATACAAATACGAGAACGAATTTGTGATGACTATTTTGTCCATTTGATATTGAGGGCTATTTTGTCCATAGAATGATAAGGGCTATTGTGTACATAGGCTATGCCGGGCTATTTTGTCCAGTAACTAATAAGGGCTATTGCGTCCATGGGCTACTCAGGGCTATTTAGCTCAGAGAATGATAAGGGCTATTGTGTCCATAGGCTACTCAGGGCTATTTTGTCCACAGAATGATGAGGTCTATTGTGACCATAGGCTACTCAGGGCTATTTTGTCCAAAGAATGATAAGAATGATTTCGTCCATAGAATAACAAAGGCTATTGTGGCTATACGCTACTCAGGGCTACAGGTATTTAGTCCATAGGCTACTCAGGGCTACTGTGTCCCGAGACTAATAAAGGGCAATTGTGTCCCAAGATACATTGAGGGAGCGTGGATCATCTCGACTACGCTGGGCATCTTGCTGTTCCTTGTGGAGATCGCCCTCCTCAGCTGGGTCAAGTTCCTGGATTACTCGCGCAATGCGGCCATCTCGTCACTGGTGGTCGTGGTGCCGGTAATGCTGTTCTTCGTGCTGTTTGCCTTCCACTTCTACTACAAGTTGGTCGCTCACAAGGTCGAGAACGCCGACAGAAACCTAAAGGACATCGAACAACAGCTGAGAGTGCTGCCACTGAGAACGAACGAGAGTCAGTTGAATGGAGCCAATTCTTCCATTCAGATAGTGTGATTGTGTTGCCTTATTGTGACTGTCTGGAACTTTTTTCTTAGATTCTTCCATGAGAGTAGAGTACAGGGTTTCTCAGAAAGATTGTTACACGCTGCCTTATGGATTATGGTAGAGGTGTTGTATAGTTGTTTTTTTCTGATATGCCCTGTGTATGACTTGTAATACTACTATGTTTCTTGATAATCAACATATGTGATATTTATATTTAAAAAAACCTTCCTTCTGATCGACTACTGTATAATTTATAAGTTAATATTTTTTTATACTTCTAAGTAGGAGAAAAAGTTTAAGGAACCAATTACTACTGTATCTAATTGATGTTCAGATCAGAGAGTACAGTACATTACAGTACAGGGGTCCCCCAAATTCGCGGGAGTTAGGTTCTCAAAATGGCCGCGAATCGGCAAATCCGCGAATAACATTTGCTGACTGGGGGGGGGGGGTCCATTGTTACTTGTGTACAAAGAAATGTATATTCTCTTCATGTGTTTGCCCTTAGGACAATTATTTCTTTTACCTGTATTGTATATGTGTGTGTGTGTGTACACACACACACATATACAATACAGGTAAAGGAAATTACGGTCTCTAGAATGAATGGCTCCCTGTCCCAGCCGCAAAAATGCCCGCAACTTTAAAACCTACCCACAGACATTCTTGGGTACATCCAGAGTGTCATCCGCAAAATAAGAATCCTCAAATTTGGGGGGCCCCTGTACAGTTCATTTTAAGTGACTGTCTGATCTATGCGAGTGTCAACGGAGTGTGTACGTGTGTGTTACCTCCACGTATGAATGAAAGTCAACAAATACCGGTGTTACTTTCCTCCAGTATTATTGTCCTCCGTAAGCAAGTTTAGATGTCTGTTGATTTGTCGTGTTTAGTGAGAATCAACTACCATCACCACTTCCTCCTGTGTTCCTTCATTAATGCTATGTTGATGTGTGTGTGTGTTCTTTTGGGTCTTGTGGTACAGTATTTTGATGAATATTACGAGTCAGTGGAACAAATTATACTGTACTGTGTATTGGTGGGGTCAGTTCGGATAATAACACAGAATATAAAGTGAATGTTATCCTTAATAGTGATATTGTTTTATATTTTATTATTATTAATTTATTATTGTTATTTTTTATTATTTTTGTCTATTAATGTTATTTTTATCACAGTAATATTATAGTTATTATTATTATTATCATTATTATATTTAGAAGTGAGGACTGGTTAAGGCTAAATTACCTTAATGTGGATAGATATTGAAGAAAATGTAATTAGTTTTGTTGAATACATTATTAGACTACAGCAGAGGGAGTCGATCTATTTATCCAGGAATCTTTATGACTTCTTTGGCTGCAAAATTCTTAAGACCGTACTGGCTATACATGAGCTGATTGGCTATATTTACAAAAAGTTTGGCTATAAAATTCATAAGACTATTGGCTATAGATTTTAAGACCATTTCTATAATGTGTCCATAAATTATATCTAACCCATTATAAAAAATCAACCTGTAAATTATTATAGATAGAAGACCAATTTTATTATATACTTAAAGAACAACTCATAAGTATTTTTTTAATAACTTTTGAGGTTAATAGGTTATAAAATGAGTTAGATAATTAAAAGACCTTATATTCAGAGAAGCTTAATTGTCTGAGCTTATGAGTTAACTACTGCAGAGCAATTGAGAGTAATTAACCAATTGGGTGAGACTCTTTTTAACCATAAACCGTTAGTTAGTTTATTAGTCTTGTAAGTGGATGGCATTATTTTTTTTTTACAATCCGGTAACACTCATGGTGTCATTTGTAGGTGTTCCCAGTCTGTGTGTAGATGTTACCAGTATGTGTACGTGTTACCAGTATGTATGTGTAAGTGTAGGTGTTCCCAGTCTGTGTATGTGTTAGTAGGTGTACCCAGTCTCTGTGTATGTGTTACCAGTATGTGTACGTGTTACCAGTATGTATGTGTAAGTGTAGGTATTCCCAGTCTGTGTACGTGTTAGTAGGTGTACCCAGTCTCTGTGTATGTGTTACCAGTATGTATGTGTAAGTGAAGATGTTCCCAGTCTGTGTGTTGGTCGTGTATGGTCGGTCCTTCCTCGTGTGTGTGTGCCTGTTTATGTGTACGTATGTGTGTAGATACTGTACATATATGCCAGAAGTACTTAAGAATCATAGGTTTTGAGGATTTCATTAATTGCCGTGGTAGGTGACCTGAGGAGTGTAGTGTACAGAGTGTGTCAGATCGCGCATCATGCTGTACAGGGTGTGTCATAGGTTGCACATATTTACTCTACCTATGACACACCCTGTATAATTAAAACAAACACGATGATTAAACGATCGGAATAATGTTTAGATCTTCAAGTAGATTACCATAAATAAAATCATTCCGGAGACAATTTGAACTAGTCGATAGATCAGCGGAATTGGTTGATTTTAGCCGACGGTCACAATTCCTGGTGGAAAACCCGATGAGGAGAATGTTCTGTTGTTTGGGGTGGTTCATTTTCTGGTAATATATCTGTTTTTACTGTGTGTTAGCAGTGGGGTGGGAGGGGGGGGGGATTCTGATTAGTTTTTGATATTGTCAAGTCTCCCTCCCTCCCTCCCTCCCTCCTTCCTTGCTCTCTCTCTCTTTCTTTCACTCCTCTTCTCTCTCTCTCTCATTATTGTCTCGTAAATAAGGGTTTCACTGTACTAGCTGCACTCAATGGCTACCAGGAAGTTAACTGTACTGTTAGAACATAGATGAAAGTTTACATCGTTTTGTTATTTTTGTATAGCCGATATAGATATACAGGATTACCTTTAGAATATATGGCTCCCCTGTAGAGATAAATACCTGATTGATTTAACTATATAGATGATTACCTTTGGAAATAATTATCACCTGCAGAAATATTACCTTACAAATACAAATGATTACCTTTGGAAATAAGTACTGTACTTTCTCCTCCTCCTGTGTTCCTCCCGTAGATGCATAATTTCCTCCCATACATACAGAAATTCCCCCCATAGGTGCATAAATTCCTCCCATAAATACAAAAATTCCTCCCATAGATACATAAATTCCTCCCATAGATACAGTACAGGTGTCAGAGGCGGGACTGTCATAGTGTTGTCTTCTGCTTGGATTAGTGTCACTGTTTATACTGAAGTGAAGCATTTGGATCTTATATACAGAAGTGAAAGGTATTTAGGTAGGGAAAAGATTTAACTGAAGTGAGATTTATTTAGGAAGTGAAGCATTTTTACAACATTTAATCAGAAGTGAAGCAATTTTAGAGTCAGATTATCGTATCATTGCTAACAGGACCTTGATATTGCTGTTCAAATTATATAATCCCTTCACTTCTATTGGTCGCTTGTCCCATTAAGACTGTAGAGAGAATAAGAGTCATTCTAACCTAACTCTTCGATCATCAGGAATAACAATCAACTTCGTATTCAATCCTAACCTAACCTACACTAGCGTTTACCAATACCTTACCTGTAGTGTCAGTACATTTTCTATAAGGTCCCCGCTGCCATTTTGAAATCCATAATGCGACTAGGAGTGAGAAGAATGTGTAGTAAAGGGAGGAGCTTAAGCGAGGTTGGATGGAGTTAAGTGTAGTTCCTTTCGTGTAATAAGTATGCAAATTATCTCCCAGTTGGTTTTGACATGATGGCGTCAGTGGGTTGCCTCTATAGCCAAAGATGATATGGATATTATTTTATTTCATATTAACCCCTTGTATCTGGGGTCGCCTCCGAGCTGAATAAAATCATGTATCGTTGACCGAATAACATACCCAAAGTAGCGTCCCTGTATTGAAGGGGTAAATACAGTTTGGTTGGGTTATATTAGGTTTAGTTTGGTTAGGTTAGGTTATATTTTGGTTAGTTTAAGTGAGAGCTGTTGTTGATGATAAAACGTTTGTGAGTCAAGGGTGCTGGTATCGACTCACCCACGGAAGGCATGGTAAATAAATTGTTTGTGAGTCGGCAGTGCAGTACCAGATATCGAGTCGGCTACGTTAGAAGTTTGTTTATTTGTTTATTCAAGGGTAAAATGATTTTATTAAAAGAGGAATCTTCACATCTATTCATTTTATAGGAGTAACTATGGTTTTTGAGGTACATCTGTCTAGTATCTTTAAACATTTGTGTATGGGGACCCCTCTGAGCTGAATAAAATCGTCCGTCATAAGCCAAATAAAATATTTAAAGTAGCGTCCTCGTAGTGAAGGGGTTAAATTATTATTATTAACATACAGACAATAATTAATAATCCTTCAGAATTTTGTGAGTTTCACCAAATAACTAAATATAATAATAATAATAATCATAATAGGATAATTATCAATGTGTAAATCATATATAGGAATTATTTATATTACTCTGTTTATTTAATTGAAGTGACTGGAGATTTTTTTGCATAGTTTTTTTTTTTACCAAATAACTTGATGAAATATTTGCCATAATTTTTCACTATCTGGAAAAAAATTTGTATAAACTCTCAGATTATTGTATTGTTTTATTATTTATTATTGAACCAAATCTGGAATAGATAAGGAAGTATATTTGATGATAATGTGTTTGAGCCTTTCTTATACAAAGGGCCCACATAAGCAGTGTCTAAGAAAAATGTATCCACACTAACGGTCAGGATTTTTGTAGAAGTTGCATCAATGATTGTGGTCGGAATAACAACATTGTCCTCACACATCAACAAGGGAGGACAATGCTGTTTTTTTTTTAATACCGTACGGACAATCATTCACTCGATTTACACAAAAATCCATAAGGTGTAGTTTGTATACTTTTTCCCGAGATACCACGGAAGAACGCGGCCAAATATTTCCCGTGTGGTCCATGTTTTGGTGAGTGTTTCTTTTAAGCAATAAAATAGTGATATAAATGACATTTTAGAATCCACAAATCATACAGGGTGTCTCAGAAAAATGTGTATGGTACTCCCTTACAGGTTTTTGTGACGATCGTGTTAATGATTGTCCGGTATTACAACATCAACTTTAGTCATCGCTCATTGATGTGTGAGGACGATGTTGTAGCCGCAGTCATCGACGCGATCTTCACAAAAAATCATTAAAAAGATACATATATATTTTTATGAGACACCCTGTAATAATTCAATTCTATACTACGGTACTTTTATCTTTTAACTACAAAGAGTAAATGTAATCTTGTGTACAGTACATTGAAATACATGTTTTCTCCTCATCATATAAATAGAACTCCATTAAAACATTCTAGTTGATAAGTGTATGAAGCCTGTTACTCTTCTCCATGGTAAAAATTCATGTAAGGTGGTACAGTAAAGACATCTGCTGTATTTAGTGCTGTAGTTAATGTAACCTAACTATTGACTGTATTCCAGAAGTTAGTAGTTTGAGGTTTCTGTGTGTTCATGGTCGGGAAGGATTTTATTTTTCTTAGAAGTCGAGGCAAGGTCGAGAAATGGTACAGTTGATCTGGATGTGTTTTTTCGGGGCAGGTTTCTGCTTGTCGGGGAAAAACGCTAGATTTCTTCAGACTTCGGGAAATATAAAAATTGTAGAGGAAATTGTGTGGATTTTTTGCTTGTTGGGGAAAATTATACAGTATTCTCATTAGTCGGGAATATGTCGGGGAAATTTTAGATTCAGTCGGGAAATATCGAGGTTTCTATTCATCGGGAAATTATAAATCTGTCGTGTTATAGGAAACCTAGAGATGCATAGATTGTCTCTCTATATAAACGTAACTGAAAATTACCTCAAACAAGACATGACCCAGAACAATACGGCACATACTAACAGACACCGAGCTTAACCATAAATGAACTACCATCAGATATGCCCCTCTGTTGTATAAATTTAGTCAACTATCATACTTAAAGGTACAAATTACTGTTGCATTGTTGTCTCGTGTGCCGGGATGGTCTGTGAGGGTATTGTACATCATCTGTGTATTATAGGGTAGTGTTGTGTCAGTGTCTGTGTGTGTAGGTGGTGGGTATGGGCTCGTGACTGTTATGTAATGTACTGTCGGGTTACGGCTCTGGTCTGGGATATGTCATTTGCGACAAATATGGGATGGGGGTGGTGTGGAAATGAGGAGACTCAGTTTATTTCACCTGATTATTGAAATACTAATGCTAACCTAACCTGGCGTAACGTAACCTAACCTGACTCGACCTAACCTAGCTACACCGTATAGCATTGGGTGAAATAAGCTGGGGTGTCTCAAGGAAGTGATAACTTTGAGAAAACTTTGTGACAACGTTTACCTTGGTTTAGTTTGGTGCTTTGTGTGTGTGGGGTTGGGTGGGGAGTGTAAACAATCGATGACTTGGCCTACAAACAGTCGACCCAGACTTGTTTACATGTGTTAGCCTCTTGTCGTACGATCAACCTCAATTTAAATTTTTTCATTATAGTGATTTATGCTGTATGATGACTAGAGTGTTCCTGTATAAAATATATTGAGATTTTTATCGTATTGTTATTTTTCTATAAAGAGTGTGTTAGGCGCCTCTTGAGAACTTATTTATCGTCATTTACAGTACTTGCAATATTACCAGGTGAAGTGATTGTGTAAAGTTCAGTACAGTATTACTAAACATATGGACTACTATTACTGTTTCATTATGATTTTGTTTTTTATGGCTATAATATATATCATTATAAAATCTCTATTGTCATTTATTATCCTGTAGTGTGTGTGAATAATTTAGGTAATGGAAAACGGCTTTAGGGTGAGGGCTGCGTTTTCTTCGAGGTTTATTTTACGTTGGTCATCTGGCTCGTGGTCTCGTCAAAGCCGCACAAATGTCGACTTGTGTTTTTCTGCTGCTGTTTGGGATCTCTGATTATATATTGAGGGAATATTATATGGAGAATTTTATCTTGTCTGGATTTAAATGTTGCTTCTAACTTCATGAAGAAATATGACTTTGGCTGTTGTATTACATGCCACTTAGATGATTGTGAGTACCAAGATGATTTAAGATCTAACTTAACCTAACCCAACCTCACTTAGCCTATCATAACTTAGCCTGACCTAACTTGACCTCATCTAACCTCACCTAACTTAATCTAATCGTCCAAGTGGGATGGTATAAAACAGATAATTGTATATATGTGTTAATAGTCCACAAGTGAGTCGTTCATATCCTTTGTAGGTCAGTAGGAGCTACAATCATTTCACCATTTATGTATACTGTACATTTAGTTATATAGAGATTCCAAAGCTCTATCCAGAAATATTACTACACAAACATATACAACATCCTCACAGACACACCTGATACACACACACATGCACACACCTGATACACTCAGTAACTCCCATGTGTTGTGACAGGAGGTAACAAGTCTTCGAAAAAGGATAACTCGAGTGAACGGTCAAATTTGTAAACTTTAACCAGATGTTGAATGAGAGACGTAAAGGCTTTTGTTACTAAAAATACTGAGAATTACGACCAGAAATGTATACTGTACTATACATTGAATACACACAGTACAGTATATGTATTATGACCCATTGTAAAAGTTAACGACCCCAGAAGCATTATGAACTAGAATGAATAACTCTTATGCTTTTTAATAATTTCAAAAGCAATTACTACGTGTTCTGTTTTATGATGCAATGTTGTCACCGACCCTCATAGAAATGAACGGTTGTATTATTGTATTTTGCCGGGTTTTGTGGAAATTTGATGTATTTTTATTGTTATTTATGTCTGTAGTTGATTATATTCTACATAAATACTCTGTATATTTATTCATGTTTTATAATTTTTCACATTTTTTTTCACTTTCATTTTATGTTATAATTTTCACCGTTTATCAGCTTTTTCTCTTCGTTTAATGGTGCTTAAGCTTTACATGATCTAAGCTTTAAATCTACCATATATCAGCTTTAAATTATGTATACCTCGACTGTTTTAACTGCAACAGTCGGCTTCTCACCTGTTATTGGGGTATACTGTACACTATATTGTTGTATACTGTACACTATAGAGGTACTGTATACTGTACTGTACAAAATATAAACAATTAAACACCTGGGAAATAAAACCATAGTAAAAATATCAAACCAAATAAGTTTATCTGCACATTACTAAATAGTACTGCATTACATAATTCTGAAAACTAAAATACCTTAAAAATATATTATATTATTAACTATAGAAGTTATTAATGTCTTGTTGTCAAATAGTGGGTGTTATCTGAGGTGTTGCTGTAATGACCTACGGGGAAACACTTTATTGACATCAAAGTCACATGTTAAAAATCACTAGTGTGTTTTAACCTGTTGAGAATAATGTTAATTTTATGGATTTTTCTCGGTTATGGATGTGTTTCGTGAGCAGGAACCCCGAGATTAATGTTAATATGAAGTACAGGTCGTGTTTTGATGTACTATGGGGTACAGAGTGTGCAGTAACGTGCGCCATAAAGGATGTGTTGTACAGGGTGTGGAGTAACGTGCGCCATAAAGGATGTATGTTGTACAAGGTGTGGAGTAACGTGCGCCATAAAGGATGTATGTTGTACAAGGTGTGGAGTAATGTGCGCCATAATGGATGTGTGTTGTACAGGGTGTGTCATAACTTTGTACAACTTGAATGCTAGATTAAACAGGGTGTCTTGTGGGTAAATTAAAAAAAAAATATCACCCCATACAAACTATCATTCATGGTACACGACTTATGCCACACCCTGTACAGTGCCACATACCACCAGAAAATATATAAAAGGACAACATACTCATACAATATTAAACAAATATATAGACACTCATTTTGACAACAATATATCATGGTATTTGAACACAGGATGGTACTCTGTTTACTCTTGTGTAAGACTTGGCATTATATTATCAGTTGCAGATGATAGACACGATATACCGGTATTTACTGTCTACAGGAACAGGATATACCGGTATTTACTGTCTACATGAACAGGATATATTTATTATAGTACATTAAGATATGTTACAGTATATTTATGATTATATATCGAAAATTTATTAATATGTTTAACTTGTGCATGTGATAGCTTCCTAAAAATATATCTATTTTTGTGTGAATTTGGGGAAAACTTTCAGTACTACTATAGTTAACGTCCACGTAAAATATCCGTCTTATTTTGTATTACCACCATGTTAATGCTTCCACTCTATAGCACTGTTTGTATATTGTTAAATTACCTTATTTTTACTCCTAATGATAATTTTAAGTTAGTGGGAAGGTAATTTTACCCAATGAAATAAGAGTTTTTTAGTACGTGGGGAAGGGAAATATTTTAACCAACCAAAAAATAATAGTCGTGTAATCTTTTGTTTGTTTTTTATGGTCTGATAACATTAAATGTGACAGTATGTATCTAATATCCTTGTGTATTAGAATTAATTTTTAAGAAAAGCTTTACATTTTGACTAATATACTTGACAAATTCTTTACATATTGATGAATAATGACAAATATTAATCACAAGGAAATAACTGTAAAGGACCCTCAAGAATATTCAGTGTACAGTATAGTCTTGCTCCGATCCCTAGGCCCCAGTAGAGTTATTCGTTTACTGGCGACTCTCGGAACTCGCAAATAAATGGGAACTTTGCACCGCAGAAGTAGTTTTTGCCGCGGTAACCTGACCATTTGTCGAGGTGCATGCACTTTTGACTGGGGTTCTTGCTGGGTTGGCCGGGTTTCCATTCATTCTTGGCAACTTCCCTGCCTGAGAGCCAATCCCATGACCTCTTGCCTGTGGTGACCCGCGCTCCTACCCAAAAGGTGTCGGCTGTAAGTGAAAGGAAGTGACTTTAATATAACTTAGGTGGAGTCTTGAATGAATGAATAAATAAAAATATTAAACCATGGGAGAAAAAAAATAAGGATTAGCCATAACAAAATTTATAAACATCAGTCAATGGGGAGGGAAGGAGGAAGGAAGAGGGGTACCTTAGTAGCCAACTCCCACATAACATCTGGGAGATTTAAATAAACAATAAATCATTCTAATTATCTTTACTTATTAAAATTAAAATGATGAAAATTGTGAATGTTTTAGAAATCTATTTAACATTACATCCACTAACAGGATAGAAGCTACACCAGGTTGAAGAGGATAGGATGACGGCTGTTCCTGGTCGACTTGTATAAAGAGGTAAGGGCAGTGAAAACAACCTCAGAGAGTTAGAGTACTATATAGAGGATCAAAAGGTTAGTGTATAAAGGATCAAGTATTATAAGCTCAGTTGAAAAGTTTGTTAGTATAGTATTATGGAGGATCAAGTATTCTAAACTTGGTAGTAAAGGTTAAGTACTGTATGAAGGCTCAAGTATTCTAAGCTTGGTATAAAAGGTTAAGTACTGTATGAAGGCTCAAGTATTCTAAACTTGGTAGTAAAGGTTAAGTACTGTATGAAGGCTCAAGTATTCTAAGCTTGGTAGAAAAGGTTAAGTACTGTATGAAGGCTCAAGTATTCTAAGTTTGGTATAAAAGGTTAAGTACTGTATGAAGGCTCGAGTGTTCTAAGCTTGGTAGAAAAGGTAAGTACAGTACTGTATGAAGGCTCGAGTGTTCTAAGCTTGGTAGAAAAGGTAAGTACAGTACTGTATGAAGGGTCAAGTATTCTAAGCTTGGTAGAAAAGGTTAGTAATTGATGATTCATATGGCTGTTACAATGTAATCTTTCACACTATTGCTACAAAATCCTGTAAAGAAATGCATTATACATTCCTGAGACATTACACAAGAGGAAGTACTCACAGTATTCCCGTGTGATGTACTCCTGAAGTTGCGACAGTCGCCAGGGGGCAGCCAATCCTCCACCGTAATTCTGGCAGATAGCGTGAGCACCTCCCCAAGACCTCCAGTCCGCTTTATTATTGAAGATTATGTAGCAGCTCTCGGCTTCCAGTCTGAATGGCACTGGACATGATGTGGCTAATGGCCACAAAGTTTAATATTAGGTGGATTATTAGGACAGTTTGTTGTTGTTTGGTTCTAGTTAAGGAAGGAGATCGTTTCTTATACTAAATCACTAACACCCTATTTTTTTTACATGTTTTCTTGACTTATGATAATAATAACTACGCTACAACAACTAATAGGGTCTTTAATTGCATCGTTAGGCTTGTATAACTACACTAATCTATCAACAAGAGGACAACAATACTTACGAACAGGTGGTAAAGTATAAGGCACTTCAGTAGTAGACGTAGTTGTAGTAGTAGTAGTAGTAGTAGTTAGTTTTGTGGTAAGATCATCATTATCATCACCATCATCACCTTCACCATCATCACCTTCACTATCATCACCTTCACCATCATCACCTTCACCATCATCACCACCACCATCATCACCTTCACCACCACCATCATCACCTTCACCACCACCATCATCATCATCATCACCACCATCCTCACCAAGCCCTATTGTAGAATTATCCGTTCCTCCGGTTGGCTTAGGAGAGAAAGGTGATATAGAATTCCACCAATTAGCGAGGAGATCCAGGGGTTCCTCATAGTCAGTGTCTTCCTCATAGTCAGTGTCGTTGTAGTCGAAGAAGGGGTCGATAGTGGTGGTGATAGTGAGGTTGGTTATAGGTTCTAGGATATCTGTAATAGACAAGAGAGAGAGATAGATACATAGATAAGTGCATACATACATAAATACATAACAAGTAGATACTGTATATAGATAAGTAGATACTGTAGTTAAATCGATAAGTAGATAGATGTATACATGGATATATAAATTAGATAGTTTTTTGTATTTTTAACTAATTGATACTTACATACATACATACATACAGTACATAGATGGATAAATTAATTCTGAAATTGATACATAGATAGTTGATACATACAGGTAAATACATACATACATAATACTGTATTTCAAACTAACGTAATTATTTTTTTTTAATCAAGCGGTATATCTCTAAGTAATTAAACATAATAATAACTTTACATTAAAAAAAATCCGTTTCCATACGTGATGCTGGGTATACGATTAATTGATTGATTGATAGATAGAGAGATAAGTTGACAAAGATAGATAGATAGGTTGACTGATAGCAGGGCCGGATTCAGGAGTGGGCAAAGTGGGCAGCTGCCCAGGGGCCTCCACATATTACAATATGTTCTAATTTCCTCAATATACAGTAACTGCATATGGCTTCAAAATTCTCCAATGAAGTGTTCAAATTTCAAAATTTTCCCGGGGGGCTTACAGCGCCCCCCGGAACTCCCAGATGTTTAGGCTGCTTCACTCGCCACCCCACCCTCTTGGGTAGTTATAATGAGGGGGGCCTCCACAAAGATGCTGCCCATGGGCCTCCACAGGTCTAAATCCGGCACTGACTGATAGATAAGGGAGTTTAATAGCTAGAATAGTTAGGATGGGTTACGTTACGTTGCTTATAGATAATGTTTAGATAGACGAAAGACCCTAACATACAGAGGCAAATGAGGATGACCTTTACAAACACAGAACCACATATTTTTAATTCTGATTTTTATTATAATAACATGCACACTACTACCCCCACCCACACCCACATAACTACTACCAGATGTGTGGGTGTAACGCGACGTAGCTGAACTGACGTCATGCAATACTCGTGAACAGGGTGTCTTGGGGAAAATGTATACACACTACATTGCATTATACAAACTATCATGTATATCGTGTGTATGTTCGTATTACAACATCAACATTGTCCTTTCTTGTAGATGTATGAAGTCTCTTGCAAAAAAGGACAATGTTTAATAAATACACGAAAGTCGGTAAAGTAGGATTTTTTTTTTGGAGACATCCTGTACAGTTGATGTTTTTATTCGCCTAACGAGAAAGAGATGTATATTTTGTTATAATCTTTAATTGTTGATAAATATTGTGATTATTTTATCTACTATTACGAGTTTAATGGCATCAGCTGTTGGTGGAAGAGTCGGTTGTCACGGATATTTGCACCCTGTTACCCCCTTCCCATCCTCACTCATTTTTTATATACCCGATCCCTCAAAAGATATATTCTGTAACACAAACATCAAGGGACTCTGTAAACACAAACATCAAGGGACTCTGTAAACACAAACATCAAGGGACTCTGTAAACACCAACATCAAGGGACTCTGTAAACACAAACATCAAGGGACTCTGTAACACAAACATTAAGGGACTCTGTAAACACAAACATCAAGGGACTCTGTAAACACAAACATCAAGGGACTCTGTAAACACAAACATCAAGGGACTCTCTGTAAACACAAACATCAAGGGACTCTGTGGGACACAAACATCAAGGGACTCTGTAAACACAAACATCAAGGGACTCTGTAAACACAAACATCAAGGGAGGGACTCTGTAAACACAAACATCAAGGGACTCTGTAAACACAAACATCAAAGGGACTCATCAAGGGACTCTGTAAACACAAACATCAAGGGACTCTGTAAACACAAACATCAAGGGACTCTGTAAACACAAACATCAAGGGACTCTGTAAACACAAACATCAAGGGACTCTGTAAACACAAACATCAAGGGACTCTGTAAACACAAACATCAAGGGACTCTGTAAACACAAACATCAAGGGACTCTGTAAACACAAACATCAAGGGACTCTGTAAACACAAACATCAAGGGACTCTGTAAACACAAACATCAAGGGACTCTGTAAACACAAACATCAAGGGACTCTGTAAACACAAACATCAAGGGACTCTGTAAACACAAACATCAAGGGACTCTGTAAACACAAACATCAAGGGACTCTGTAAACACAAACATCAAGGGACTCTGTAAACACAAACATCAAGGGACTCTGTAAACACAAACATCAAGGGACTCTGTAAACACAAACATCAAGGGACTCTGTAAACACAAACATCAAGGGACTCTGTAAACACAAACATCACACAAGGGACCTGTAAACACAAACATCAAGGACTCTGTAAACACAAACATCAAGGGACTCTGTAAACACAAACATCAAGGGACTCTGTAAACACAAACATCAAGGGACTCTGTAAACACAAACATCAAGGGACTCTGTAAACACAAACATCAAGGGACTCTGTAAACACAAACATTAAAAAATTCTGATTAAATTTACCAATAAATACTACTGAATATTCTATAAACACTATTGAATCCTATTAAGTTATAAAACAAAAAATATAAATACCATTGATCTCATTTTCGGTCTTATCCTCTGGGAGCTGTGTATCGTTTTGAGTCAAATTGTCGACACCATCACCAACACCACCTTCACCACCATCTTCACCAACACCACCTTCACCACCATCTTCACCATCACCACAAGCACAAACACCACCACTGTCACCACTAGGCTTACACGTATTCGTCACCTCTTGCTTTAATTCGCGTATTTCATTACTTAACATAACCAGTAGTTCTTTCATGGCTACTAGAACATCGGTCATGACGCAGAGATTCTTATCGTCTGTGTTTTCGTTAGCTGTGGCAGGTAGGAACCCAGCCACGAGCCAGGACACCAGCAGTAGTAAAGCTGAGTTCTTCATGGTCATCTTCAGAAGTGATCCACCAGAGTCGACTCTTCAGGATTCTTAAAAAAAATCGTATGAGAGTTGTTTATCGTAAGTGAAGATTTTAACTATATACGTTCAGTTAATTCCATTCAGGAGACAAAATTAACACCGAGACTCCACTTCAACTAGATACCTTCACTTTACATATGAGTTAGGAGACAAAATTAACACTGAGACTCTACCTTAACTAGAGCCTTTACTTAACACACCAGTTAGGAGACAAAATTAACACTGAGACTCTACCTTAACTAGAGCCTTTACTTAACACACCAGTTAGGAGACAAAATTAACACTGAGACTCTACCTTAACTAGATACCTTCACTTAACACACCAGTTAGGAGACAAAATTACAGTAGCCTACATACCACCTTAATTGGCACTAAGAGGACGTATAATGAATAAGTGTATTATTTCGTCATCACTTACGAGAAATAATTACCACGATTGTTTATAAATCCAGTTTTGAGAATTTCACAACCGACTGAAAATGTTAACACAATTTTGAACCTACACTGAGAGTACAGTACGTGTCTATCAGGAAGTATCTGCTATAGAAATATTTCCTTCTGTCCAAATACAAAAAAAAGTGATTAATCTTAAGTTTTATTAATATTTAATAACTTGGGTTTAACCTCTCCCGAACGCAAGCTTCTACTACGCTGTCTGAACTGGCAGTGAGTCGCCCTGTCATGGTGTACAGTGTCACCCTCCCAGTAAGATGTGTGTGTGTAACCCTACACTCCCTCTTCCCCCCCCCCCCACTCCTGTTTTTCTAACTGTGTGTGTGTGGGGAGGGGGGGGAGATGACAGATGGTCAGAGTGTGTGGTCTGGGTACACTCCCTAAAAGCTGTCCTCCTTATGGTAATTGTCCGTAAACAGTGTGTACTTGTTAATGTTGTTGTTTACGTGTCTTAAAAATATCATTGGTCTTCAATTTTCTTTATGCTTAACTTTTATCCTCTTCGCCACTGATCGGCTCGTTCACCGCTTGGGCGATCGGTCACGTCTCCGTTACGCTCTGTTGGGCAGGTACTGGGCATGTACTGGCTCCTGAATGTACCTAAACCTGCTCCACTGTTGGTCAAGTCTGGTCTTGAGACAGCTCACACTCGGCGCCGTCACAACACTCTCTGGTAGATTGTTCCAAGAGTTCACAACTCTCACTCCGAAAAAGTTTGCCCTCACAGTTTTCTGGACTTGCGCCTTCTTCAACCTTGAGCTGTGACCCCTTGTGGGGCAAGCGTCCGCCAGCTCCAGGTGAGGACACTCGACTAAGTAATGTCCTCCGAGGTGTTATTAGACTTCTAATAAGTTACCCTTTGCCCGCCTATTGTATAAACTAGACAACTGCAGGCGTTCTTATCTCTCTGGGTAACAGGTGCTGTAGTGCAGGCATCAGTCTGGTGGTCCTTTGGACATATCTCGGGGACCAGACGGGGTGACAGTACAGTCCTCCAAACGGGGAAGCACCTCACTTTTTAGGGGCATTACGAGAGTCGGACCGTTAAGGAATGTGTACGCCGTTTTTAGAAAGTGTCCCCTATATACACAAGACAGTATTAAGACCTCGAGCGGGTGGGGGTGTAATGTACACGCCCAACACTATAGATAAATATGTAACAGTAATTTGCGTTATATACAAATACGCCTCACACTTCCACCATCACCTACACAACACTCCCTCCCTCCGTCAGACGTGGTGTAGTAGGGACGGGGCCGTCATCACCTACCCTGATGTAGGCACTAAGCCGCTGGTGATGTCCTCTCGAGGCTCCTGTTACCCTGGGAACCATCAGGGGAGACCGACCTGGGGGGGCAGAATGTCAGAAACGGATTTATCTGGAAGGGGAGAGATGGTGTGTGTGAGGAGGAGAAGAAGGAGGGAAGCAGGAGAGGTGGATCTGGGAGGAACGAAGGAAAGGAAGGGTGGTGGGAGGAGAGAGGACGGGTCTGGAAGGAGGGAGGGCGAGAAGGATGGGTCTGGGGAGAGGGAGGGAACGAAGGATGGGTCTGAGAAGGAGAGAGGGAAGGAGGAGAGAGAGAACGGGTCTGGGAGGAGAGAAGGGCGGGTCTGGGAGGTAGGGAGGGAAGGAAGGATGGGTCTGGGAAGGAGAGAGAGGACGGGTCTGGAGGGAGAGAAGGGCGGGTCTGAGAGAGAGGACGGGTCTGGGAGAGAGAAGGAGGAGGGAGGAGAGAGAGGACGGGTCTGGGAGGGAGGGAGGGAGAGAAGGACGGGTCTGGGAGGGAGGGAGAGAGAGGACGGGTCTGGGAGGAGGGAGAGAAGGACGGGTCTGGGAGGGAGGGAGAGAGAGGACGGGTCTGGGAGGGAGGGAGGGAGGGAGAGAAGGACGGGTCTGGGAGGGAGGAGAGAGGACGGGTCTGGGAGGAAGCAAATACAGTGTGTCACAAACAGCTGTTGGTCGTTCATCACAGACATCTCCACTGCCCTCACACACGCACACACACACACACACACACGCACACGCACACACTCTAGTTTGTGGTTTATACTTTGAAAGTTTATGTAAGTGATAATGGTAAGATTTTAAGGCAAACTTTGAGCTTACTTAAGGAACTTTGAGATAAACTTTGAACTTGAACAAGGAACCTGAATGTAAACGTTGAGCGTAAATATTAACCTTGAACTTAAAAAAAAGATATAACTTTTGATATTTTTTGGGCACCCCTTCCCCCCCCCCACCCCTACATTCTTGTGTAGGGTGAAGCGCAGAAGCGTTTACAGCGCCCAACAGGGAAGCATGCTAAGTTCATGCTTGCCTCTATGTCTCATGACTCCCAAGAGGTTGACCTTTATGTGGGTGCCATATTGAGTGTCAGTGGTTGTGTATCTTCGTCTATTTTTACTTTTATCCTCCTCGCCACTGATCGGCCCGTTAGCCACTTGGGTGGTCGATTACATCTCGTTTACACACTGTTGGCAAATACTGACTCGACAACCCCTGCCCTCATCTTAACGAGTATCCCAGTTCAACAAACCTCAAAATCACTCCCACGAGCCAATAACATCCATATATTACTAAAAACCATAAAACCCAAAGTCATTTACCATCACAACCAACACTCGACCTTACTGACTTAAGATCATTAGGTCCATGTGAGATTTAGGGTAGTTCCCGTAATGGTAATCTAATTCTCGTTTTCTCTCAGGTTTGTTTTAGTTCAGGGGGGAACTTATGTGTTTTTCATTGGGACGATATTTTAGGCTGGGTTTCTCAGACGTTTTCACGATTTTCTCTCGTATAAGATGGATAGATAGCCAGATACAGATAGATAGATAGATAGCCTGACACAGATAGATAGATAGTCAGACACAGACAGATAGATAGTTAGGCAGACACAGATAGATAGGTACACAGAGATAGCCAGACACAGATAGATAGATACCTAGACATAGATAGATAGATACCTAGACATAGATAGACAGATAGCCAGACATAGATAGACGGATGGATAGATACAAATACTGAACATATAGACACAGACAGACAGACAAACATTACCTCCAATAAGACATGATCTCGATTAACCTGTCTCATTCTCCTTTTACCAACACCTTTTTTAAACATTTTTATAAGTAATTTTTTAATAATACTATACTATAATTCTTTCTTTTCTTTATTGATACAACACAGTTTTTCCTTTATACAAAAACATATTATTATTATTATTAACTAAAAAAAAGAACATTGTAACTTAATATAAAGGATATGGTTATTTAGTACAAGAGTTTCATGGTCTGGAAAAATGGCTTCATAAAATTTGTTGTCTTGGCGTCTTTAAATGTCTCTGGACGTGCATTTTACAAGTACCAGATCGAGCGAAAGTCATCGGACAAAAGCGACACTTGAAAGGCTTCTCGCCCGTGTGTAGTCTCCTGTGTTCCGTCAGGTGGTGTCGGGCGGTGAATCTACGGTCGCAGTGATCGCATTTGTAGGGTCTCTCGCCGGTGTGTGTCCTGCGGTGGTCGTCCAAGTCGCCCTTGGCCACGAAAGCTTTTGGACAGAGGTCGCACTTGTGTGCCCTGTTGCCCGCATGTCTCTTGAGGTGTACGTGTCTGCTGGCCTCGTACCGGAAAGTCTTCCCGCAGATGCTGCATGGAAACGGCCGTTCTTGGGTGTGGAGGCGTTTGTGGGCAATTAAGGTGTATTTATTAGTGAAGTATTTCCCGCAGTAGTCGCACAGGAATGGACGTTCACCCGTGTGTATCCTCATGTGGATCACCATGTTGCTCTTCTTGGAAAACGTCTTCCCACACTCTGTACAAGAAAATGGCTTCTCTCCCGTGTGGCTTCTCTCGTGGGCGTGTAGAGTGCTGAGATACTTGAACGACTTGGGACAGTGTGTACACCCGTGTGGTCCCTGTAATTTTCTTCTGCGTTTCTGAAAGTCTCGAGGAGGCGTTTTAACGTGTCCTCCCGTCGCGGCTTCCAATGACTCGAACATCTGAAACTCCCCCGAGATCACTTTCTCTGTCTGTAATTTATCCGACATATCTTTAACACCATCGTCTCCTATTACTTCACTTAAATGTGTTTCATCTCTATCTTCCTTAACCTCTGCAGTGTTAGTTCGATCTTCAGTTTCAATATGGGATTTTTGTTCCGTTTCTTGAGGCTCAGGATCAATGAGCTCCTCTTTAGATTCCTCCTTGGTGATTTCCAAAAAAGAATTCATGTTTTCTAAGTTGACTGTCTCGCCTGTTCTCAAGTCGGGGATATTTTCACACACAGTCGCACTGTTTGCTTCATCGGTCTGGGTATCGTCCCTACCCGACCTCACTGCTGCTTCACACGCCTCAACGTGATGGTCGTGTACTGTTCTGCGTCTGAATGTTCTTTGACACTTTGCACACACATACGGTCGCTCGCCGGTATGTATTCTTCTGTGAACTTTATGGTGTGTGGCAGAGATGAATATTTTATTGCAATCTGTGCATTTATATGGCCTCTTGCCAGTGTGTTTTCTATAGTGGACTTTAAGTATGAACTCCTTGTGGAATATTTCCCCACATTTATCACACTTGTGGTTTAATCCAGAGTCAGGTTTGTTCTTCGTTCTTCCGGGAACGGCTGGTGTCATGTGGCTGTTCTGGGCGACAACGGGAACACTGCCACCACTACCATGAGCTCGTCCACACTGATGCTTAGCTAAAAATATCTCCTGTTGGAAAGCCTGATGACAGTTCTTACATGTATAGTGATATTTATTTGAATGTAATTTGACATGATTTCTAAGTTCACTCCTAAATGAAAAAGAACAACTACACTGATCACACTTGTATGGCAGATCTTCCCCAGTGGTCGGGGTTATGGGTATATATTTATTAATTAACTCAGATTCGTCCTCATTTGTTTCCATCATCGGCTTCTCCTCTCTCACTTCATGCCTGGCTTCGTGTGCCTCGAGAAGAGCCACGTACCTGTACGACAGGTCGCAGTACCGACATTTCCTGAGGGGTAGTCTACGTCTCTTGGAGTATTTAATCTTTGTCTTGGTCGATGGAACGGTTTCAGATTCCTCCAGCTGAGCGAGTATTAGACTGGTATCCGACTGCTTATCCACTTCACCAGGGTTTAGGTCACAGCCGGCGGATATATCCCGGTTTAACAACAGACTTTTAATTTTGTTATCCGTGAGTACATCTTCCTCGTTCTTGACGGACGTTTGATTAAAACTCGTGCCGTCGATCTTGTCGCGGTAATCCGTATCGACACATTCTCCCTTCACGTCGGAGGAAATAGCAACACTCTCTCGTCTCTCTGACTTAAGCCAACACGACTGCGGATCATTTACTTGTGTATTTGACGCTTTGATACCGCTAGTGCGACCAACTTTGAGTTCTGTATCCGTTATAACACTCTGGGGAATCGTCCACTCTCTACACAGGCCAGAATCTATTGACATTTGACCGAGAACTATAGGTTGAGGTGCATCGTTCTCGTTAGACGTATCATAATCGGTTATGTAAATCACGGGTAAATTATCATCATTCTCTCGGTTATTACTGACTGGAGTTAGATCCGTGAACTGGAATGTCCCATTCCCCTTAAGGTTGTCCACAAATACAAATTCCTGACCTTGTAAAATACCGCTGGCTTCCTCCACAGCCTCGATCTTAACGGTACTAGTTTTAGCTGATGCTCTGTTTTCTCTGCGAACTTTGTTGATTTGGTGGACACAGTTGGTCCCATCTCCGACGCCCGTTATTGTCACGACCACAAGAGGCTCTCCATCAATAGGCGGTTTGGTGTACAATGTTAGACTTTCTTTACGAGTTTCGTGTATTGTACTACTCCCCTCTTCACTCGCAAATATCTCGTCCTTAATATAGTGACAGACCTTCGGGATGAATTGGTGTTGGTGGTCGGGTGAGATGTGGGGGTCTTTGGGCGTGATGCGAGCCTGTAGCTTTGCGTGGTACATCGCCGAGTCTAAATTTAAATCGAATCCTGCTCGTATGTGGGACTTGAGGTGTTTCTTCAGGCTGATGGACCTCGAAAAACACGCCTCACAGAACTCGCACTCGAAGGGTCGTTCTCCCGTGTGGATTCTCAAGTGTTCGGTGAGATGACTCTTCACCATGAACGAGGCAGTACAGTGGTTGCAGCTATAGGGCCGTTGTCCCGTGTGTGTGCGCATGTGGACGAACAGCGACGCACGGTACCGGTAAGACTTCCCACACATGTTACACTTGAACTTTGTCTCCCCGGTGTGTATGGTGCGGTGACTCTCAAGCACCGACAGCGTCTTAAAAACCTTCCCACAATTTTCACACATGAACGGTCTCTTGTCTGAATGTATTTCCATGTGTATCTTAACACTGACGGAGGATTTAAACCTTTTATGGCATATCTTGCACTCGTGTGGACGATCAGAGCTGTGTTTTCTCTTGTGTACGGCAAGATTAAACTTCCTGTAGAATTGTTTGTCACATTGGTCACACCTGTGTGGTCTTAAGCCTTTATGGAGGTTCCTCACGTGGTCATTCCTCGCCCCGATGGTCTTGAACAATTTCCTGCAATGGTGACAGCAGTACCGCTTCCCCTCAGACTTCCCGTCGTATGTCTTGTTCTGCCTCGTGCCATAATACGTGCACCGATGCCTCTTGTTGGTGTGTATTCTCGTGGTATTTTTTACCGCACAACCTACTTCTCTGTGGTCCAACCAATCGTCTTCAATGTCGAAACTTTGGCTGCAGTCGTCACAAAAGTACGGCGGACCTTCCTTGTGCTTCCTGTTGTGGGCGACCAGGAGGGTGTAGCGACTGAAACTAACATTGCATTCGTCACACCTATACGACCTGCTCGTGGGCTCCCTGAAGCTGCGTGGATTGGGCTCCCCGAAGCTGCCTGGTTTGGGCTCTATAACTTGTTCCACAAAACCACCGTCTATTGGCACAGAGGTCGAGTCGGGATTACCAATAACATTCACGGACTCCGACTGTTCCTGTAACTCATCAGAACAGTTGAGTGAAGGCTGTCCCTCCACGTCCAGTGTTTTTTCTGCCTTAATTACAGGATCAGTCTTACCACACTCAGAGTTATCCTCCATCTTAGGAAGTAAATCACATGTCTCCTCATCAGTCTCACTGAGGCAAAGTCTACTGAACATACTGGTAATTTTTGTTAATATTTTGCTTCAAATTAAGTGATATGACGTCTGTATTTGTGTTCTGAATTCACTCCTGTAGTTATTAAATACAAGTCAATAATATCTCCAGTTCACCCCTTCACTACGAGGATGCCACTTTGAATATTCTGTTTTTGGTTAATGTCAGACAATTTTATTCACCACAGAGGGGACCATATACTGTATATAATATGTTACTATGGTAAACCAATTACAGTATATCAAATTCCTGTAAAAATGGCAATTGTTATAAGAAAATTTTCAGTTCATGTTTCCAGAATAAAATACAGATGCAAATATTGTCACTACAACAGTAAATATTAAGAGTCCTTCACCAAATTTATCTTCCACTATGGTTACACTGTTTACGCTGCTATCTTAATATTAGTCACATTGTCCTGACAGCTGTTTGTGGTGAGGCGTCCACAATATGGTTCAGTTTGTCCCATAATCTCATATCTTGTCCAGCCTAACAAAAATACGAGTTAGAGAGACACTTGTTAATATAATTCCCTTCCATCAGCCATCCTTGTAGTGGTGGTCTTCAACATCATTTAGTGCAGGAAGGGAACACTGTATCAATCATCGTACCTGCAATAAGAGAACAAATCTGAGAACATGTGGTAATATTACTCCCAAAGATCAAGTCAAATGAACTCATTCGAAACATAACATTCAATTAATTATCTTTAGTTAGATGTTTAATCCTTAATTGCCAGATGAGGATTCAGTACTCTGCCCCATATAAATGCAAGGAACATAAAACTCCCACAGGTGATGACACTAATCATCAGCACTGTACAGTACATTTCACGCTCCTTGCGTTCCAGAGTAGGGAATCCTTAGCCACTGATTAAGGATTAAGTTATGCAAAATACAGCTCAATACTGACATAAGTTCAACAAGTCAATGCTTAATGACAACAAAATATAATAAATTAGCATGAAAAGTGAGAATGATTGGGATCATCTGAAGTTTAGGCATTCCTACTTATTTCTCCTGATGATAATGTACCTTAACACTAACCTAACCTACAGTAATCTAATTTAACTCCAACCTAATCATCTACTCTTACCTAACTTTACTTAAACTAACCTAACCCCACCAAAATGTAGTAAGGTATAGTATTTAATCAAGTGTTTTCATTATCACTAACTACCAAACACACAAGAGCCAATTCCAAGCAAAGACACGAACCTCATAGAACGCGAGGCAGTTTTCCCGAGTCTCTACCTGCCGACGTATATCACTTACCATAAAAATACACAAGGGAATGATGCACTCTGGTTGAAACGGGAGAATTAATGTGGCGTGAGTAAGGGTCATCGAGGCTTTAGAAGAGCCAATCTGAAATGAAGAAGTAATGATAATTTTGTGTCGGATAAATATTTTTTTTTCGTTTTTCCTATTTTGAACTATTTCCTAGTATATATTTCCTATCAAACTGACTTAATATAAACTAATATAAATCTAATCTAAACTAAACTAACCAAACCTAATCTAATATAACTTGGAAGTATTTATGTGTGTGTGTGAAAAGGACACTGGGAATGGTTCATGTTTATCACCAAACAAGAAATTGGCAAATCAGTGTCGTCTTTTTTTATTGGATAACGGTAATGCCAGATGATTTTAGTCAGCACAGGGAGAGATCCCTCGTGTGAATGTCCCCAAAACGTTGCCGCTAATTAAAACAGGTGATGAACTTAAGCGTTGTTATTTACAGAATAAAATACAAAACGTAAAATTCCTTCGCCTGATTTGGAGTATTCTTAAAGTAAAAAATAAGTTTTCAGCTTTAGTGATTCTTCGTTGGGTAGTTGGTTAACTTAGGCATCTCTCATTGACTTTTACTGTAACTTATTTTGATGCACAGACTAAAAATAAAATAGAGAAGAAAACTTAAAATTAACTTAGGAAATAATAAGTAGATAATGGCTTCACCGCTTCAATAAATTCATAAAAGCCATCATTAAAATCAGTCTAAATACTGAATGACATACAAATAATATAATAATTAATGGTTATTACATATATTACTAAAATCAAATGTAGTTCAGTATTTATCAGTTGTGTTGAAGATGAAAGCCTACACACTTACACTTATCCCAACATTAACCATTTAATAGCCCAAATACCCCTCAATCTAATATAATATTCATTGATATAAATAAAACAAAACATATCCTCTATAATAGCAAACGAGTCAATAATTATCTATACCCACAAACACTTACAATAAAGCATAAAATCCACTATTAAATCACAAATATAATCAATAGATGAATAATAAATAACATCCAACCTTCAATTACCTTCACAATGTCTTCTAATATCTTCTTTTTCTTATATTAAATGGAGAAAAATCACATTTATTTTCCCCCATAAGAAGAATATTAACCTTCATCCTGTGCTTTGTTTATGGTCGGTTATTATACGAGTCTTCTGGCATTGTTTGAATCCAAGTTTCGAACCCGTGTGAACTCTAATACCCGAATCCCTTTTGTATATTAATCCTTTTGTTAAACCTAATGTCTATAAATCCCATTACTGAAAGTTAATGTGTATTAATATCACTAATAAACCTGTATGAATTTTATTATTGAACCCTATTGTTTGAATCTTGCTCTTGAACCCCACTGTATGAACCTTACTACTGAATCCTTATGAATCATATGACCCATAACTTCTCTGTACACTTACAACAATAAACATTAAATAATTATTGTTTATTTGGTAATTATTCTCTAAATTATACATAGTTGTTGTAGTAATTATTAGTTATTTACAAACATTAACCCCTGATGAACTAATTCCAACACATTGCTTTCATAAGAACTTTATTTACTTTTAACAATAAATAATATAATAATAATATAATTCATAGTTTAATAAATTAGTTATATTTTAAATAATATATAATTGTTATAATAATTAGAAGTTATTTATAAAAACAAAATATACATAAAATAAAGACGTTGAGAACTCATTGGTCCCGTGATCACAATGTTTACCTCAAAGGCTGACCCATATTTTAGTGAATTTAACCCAATTTAAAACTTAAATATCAACTACAACATCATACATCATAATATAGATTAATTACCTGAACATAATTATACAAAATAACTTAATGAACGTACTTAAAAAGATCCATAATTGTGATAAATAAATATACAAATAATTACTCAGGTGATGACAGGTGGTAATTGAATCAGCAGGTGTTCTATCTACCTGTGTTGGTATATTAATCTTATCCCCCTGACATCTTTGAAGGGTTTATTATCTCCAGGGTACAGATCAGAAGGTCTTATGGTAGGTGGGGCCTCTGGCTGCGGTGTGTGGTGGCTGTGGCGTTTCTTTAGGGGTGAGTTGAATACTTAATTTATATATACATGTTTATATTAGTTATGTCATCCGAGATAAGTGTTTGTATATGTATTTTAGTGTAAATATGTATTAATTAAATTTATATCTATTATTTCAGATGTAGGAGAACCTAATTATAAATATCCTTAGAATGTTAAGTAATATTCTAGATGGTTGACTCTTGATAAGGAACTACATAGGAGAAATATCTGTAGAGGAATATTTGTTTGTAATACCTCGAATATCTGTTAAATGTTGGAGGAATAGCCATAGAATCTACCTCTAATATTTACTTAGACGCTGGGGTTACGATTTTGACAATTGAATCATCGTTAGGGATCAGTATACCATTAATTCTTCTTACTATAACCATTTTCATCATTTCAGGTGGTGTTAGAATTTGCACCAGCGATTACGACTGATACTAATGAGCTAACGAGACCGAGCGGCAAATATGGCGAACCTCAGCAAGATACTGCCTTACACGTGCTATGAGGTGGGACACTGCTGGGAACAATCGTGCTCCTACTGCTCGTTTCAGATATGTATAATTGGGTTTATCGAGAGCTGCAAGATATACGGATTGGTGTATCTGGTGAGTTGATTTTTATTCTGTATTTCGTTCTTATATGCCGTCGTTTTTATATATTCGAGAACCCTAAAAGATCACTATATATTTTAGGACTATAAATAATAATAAAAATACCTTTGAAATTTACTCAATGAAATATTTTCCTCCATAACTTCTTTATGTACTTTGTAATTATGTAGGTACTCAATACACTTAGTACTCAGTTACTATGGTGATTTGTGCCTTACGTACCACTAGTTAATTACATCTAATAACACTAAATTAATTATGATAATATTTAGTTAATGGTAGTGTTATGTTAGTTTTAGTTCACAATGTTATGTTAGTTTAGTTCACAATGTTATGTTAGTTTTGGTTCAACCATTTACCAAGTCACAGATTTCTTTTATTTCTTCTGAGTTATATCTGTGTTTAAGATGCAGTTAGAATATCGAAAATCCATTCAAGTTTTTCTGCATGTTGATTGATCAGTATTTGGTGCATTAGCTGATGTCTCTACACCTGAACCATACCTGAACCACACCTGTACCACACCTCTACTTCTACTGTACCTCCCCTTGTTATTTCGGATAACATCTCCTCTATAAAACATTAAGACACATATTATCCCTGTGTTTGTTTTCTCCTCAAGCTCACCGGGTTAATAAAGTCTCGGAAAATGAGTTTTGAGTACGGACGGAAGCTGTTAAAAGATTACATGACGTCTGTGTGCTTCTTGACAGTCAACGCCTTCGGGTATATTGGGTCCTTCTGCGTGCTCAGGTGAGTAAACCTAACCTAACCTGACCTAGAACTGTAAACTCCTTGTATAGGCTCCTCTCTCTGCTGAATAAAACCATCTGCTGTTAGCCAAATAAGATGTTAAAAGTGGCGTCCCTGAAGTGAAGGGATTAACGTTAAATTATTGTCTATGTACTTTAAATTTAGCAGAATCTTGAGTGTGTACAGGTGTTTAGGTCCTTTGTTTATACAGGTGTTCAGGTCCTGGTTTATACAGGTGTTCAGGTCCTGGTTTAAGATACCCGTAGCATCTGTGACGGTAATTGATATCTGTTGTTGGTATTTTGGAGTTAAGACAGTCACCCATCCTATTGCTAGACTAATTCATACAAACTCAGTCCCTTATTGAGAGGATTTCGTTAATGAGAGAGTATATAGTACCTAGTTAATAGTGGACAGTGTTCCCATTACCAGATCTTACCGGATGAGTCCACTAATTATCCCGGACAAAAAGATGTCCCTTATTGGCAGTACAGAATCCCTTATTGAGAGGGTTTGATGTACTTTACTCCTTCACTATGGGTACACCACCATTATATATTTTGTTTGGCCAATAGTAGATGATTGAGCCAAGAGGATACCCCATACACAAGGAGTTAATGGACTATTTACACTATCACCTTCACTACAGGGATGCCACTTTTAATATTTTATCCTGTTAATCTTTCATACAGATCTCATGAAGTTTAGGCACCCCAGGTTATTTCACCTGATGATCATACACCATAATGCTGACTAGGGAGAGGGAGGGGGAAGTGTTAGGTTAGGTTAGATTAGTTTATGTTTGGTTAAGGTAGCATTAGTGTGTATCATCCTCAGATAAAATAAGTGAAGTGTTCCTAAACTTCATGAGATGTTTCCAATGTATCAGGCAGTTGTGGAAGATTATTGTGCACAGTGTTTAGAAATCTGTGTTGTTGTATATCTTGTATGGTATATATACAATAAATCCTCCATAGTATTTACATATTGGGGAATACTATACTGTAAAAACACCCACTAATCACTGCACTGTAAACAAATTTTATATATGGTATCTCTACTTAATGGACTACATGGAGAGGACGTCTGTTATATCAAGGGTTTATTAGATGTGAAACCACCAATTAATGGATTATATATAGAGGCCATTATATGTATACTTTATATAATCGTACTTGATATATAACTCGAGAAATGTCACTTTTCCTCAGGCGCATTTTCCGACACATCAACTTCCTGACTGCTTCGTTCCTGCCGGGGTTCATTGCGAGTCTAATGGCCATAAACGTTGAACGACCCGAACGCAGACAACTACTGGCCATCTACGTCACAAATGTGGTTGAGTATTATTCATATTTTTCTATTATTTTATTGTTCATTAGAGTATTTGATTGATATTAATGTTATTCTATGATACTTCAGATCTTTCAGCTTTCAGTTCATTAAGTCATATATATAGGAATTAATGTACTTATACCCAACACAGTGGCTAGTGCATTATGTGAGATGTGGCAACTCTGTGGAATACTTATCTATCATCCTTAGTCATTCTGGGAGTTTTAATACAATGCCACCAAACACACAATTGCCACATTTCACTGAACGCACCAGCCTCTGTACCAGATGTGAATTCAGGCGACTGTATCTTTGACAGAATTGAATCTGTGCTTCTATAATTCTGGTTCATTAGTTGTTATACAGTAAGTGATGCTGAACTAAAGGACTATAGCATTGGACCATCAAGCACCCTGGATAGAGCGACCTGTGCCATGCGACGTTCTTTTCAGGAATCTTACAAGTTGTTCAAGTCTTCCCCACAAAAATACAATGTATATTTCAGGCATTTTTTTTATTAGATATAAGAGTAATTTATTAAGGCTCTTTGGTTTACAGGCATCAGAGTGTTTGTGGAACCTGGCAGTGGGTCATGGCTATGTGAGACGCATCCCACGAGGTGAGATACTAATATTCGCCGGAACCATGGCAGTTTTAGGGTACAAATACCGCTCCTCTTCGAAGCCTTTCAGCAGATTAATCAATTCCATTCTTCAGTAAGTGGTGATACAAAGTTGTTTTAGTATTATATCAATTTCTCGACACAGTTGGGTAGGATTTATGGAACTATTAAACAGCGGCCATCATGAGTGGAGGCTTTGTCTTCCTTTGCATTCTATTTTTATGTATATAAAGGAGGGAGAATGGGGGAATACTTATCCTATAGACGGGTTTAAAGGGTATTTGAACCTCTCTCTTAATGGTCTTTAACCTAACCAAATAATTTACTCTGGGCCCTATTAGGATTGGATCTTGTATATTTGTACAGTTAGATCAGATATTGTATGAGTGTGTCATGATGGTGGCTGACCTATCAGACACACTCACACCATAGCCAAACAACACCAAGAAAGTAATTTTGTCTTAATATTTACAGGAAGATTATTGGTCCTGAGGAATCTGGAGCAATGATCTCACAACGACAAGCGACTAAACCCGACGCTTCCACACAACTCACACCAAAGCAACAATCGTGGGTTGGTTACCTTGTCAGTCTCTGTTACACATAGAAGACCTGTGTTAGGAAGTTACTGAAGGATTAAACAAACTGAAGAGATTATATGGATCACTGGAAATTTTCTCTCTCTCTCTCTCTCTCTACAATATTTAGTTGAACATTTCCTGAAGAATTAGTTAAAAAACAATCCATATAAATTCACACTCATTTCCATTTAGTTTTGTGTTACTTACAATCTTTGACACACCTGAAAGTCAACCCTTGATTGATATAGTTATTATACATCTAGCATCATAACAGTTCATCTGCATTAACGGATATGCAGGTACAATTTATTTTTCCTCCCGTCAGGTACGTCGTCTCCTGTCGGTGTTTACAAGTCGTCACTCCATGTGCCCTCATAAAGGTGGCTGTGTGCCTCACTTTCTCTGGGTCAGTTAGACACTTTGTCGGTTCTCATGTTTTTTTGTTTGTTTTTTTAATATTAGTATATCATAAGGTTTGTGTGTGTGTGTGTTTCAGCAGGGTATTGGTGGTAGCATAAGGGTGTTTTAGTGAATGGATGATATAAGCTCAGATGACTAATTAATCTTCAGGTTAACCCAAATATTTGTTAGAATTAATGATTTTCTTCTCTTTCTGTCAGACGGGCGTACGAGGCTTCAGTCAGGGGTTCATCATCCAGTTGGCCATCAAGCTCTTACCTTCCCTGCCACAGTTAGTCAGATCCCCCCGGAAGCTTTACAACTTACTGCTGAATAGAAACAACATCAAAGCTGGAATCTTCCTCGCTTGGTTAGCATCTGTGTTTAAGGTAGGTATTGATATTGTTGACTGTAAAAAAAAAAAAAAAATACCAAATATTATGAATATATATAAAGCGATAGTTATTATTTAAGAGATTCATCAACTTAATAAACTATAACGTGTTCTGAGACCGGCGTGTTTGTGGGTCCAGGGAACGTGTTGTGCCGGGCGGTGGTGGCACGGGAGAGACGAGCCATCACATGGAGCCGTGGCTGGTGTCCTCTCGGCTCTCTCAATGTACTTCTACTCTGCTCCGTCTCTAGCACTCTACGTTATGTGGAAAGTCGTCGAGGTAAAATTTGGTCGTCATTGTAGAAGCCATTTTATTTAAGAATGCGGTGAAACCTCCATATAACGAACTTTAAATTCCCAGACCAAACTTTCGCATATAGTTCGTTAAATAGGGGTTTGTTTCGCTATACAAATATTAACACTATATTAAGACTTTTCATTATATAGAACAGTACATTATACATTCACAATCGCTCTGTATTACACGTGACAATCTCCTTCCAGAGTGCGTACGAGAAAGGCTGCGATGACGGATACTTGCCTCGCATCCCGGGCTCGGTAGAACTCCTGTACGCTGTCTCCGTGGGCTTCCTCTTCCACTTGGGGGTGATGGAGAAGCACTACATGAAGCTGTCCTATTGGAGGTTCTTGAAGCGGCTCACTTGGGGCAGGTAACTTCACCATAACTCTCCCTGTTGTTGGTTTGGCTGACAGCACCCGGGCATATTGGTGTTGTCTATTATTGGAATTCTTTTGTAACTGGTTGGTGTAGGAGGTGGCCATCAACAGTGGGAGTCAGCTGTAGGGATGGCAGCCATCAACAGTGGGAGTCAGCTGTAGGGATGGCAGCCATCAACAGTGGGAGTCAGCTGTAGGGATGGCAGCCATCAACAGTGGGAGTCAGCTGTAGGGATGGCAGCCATCAACAGTGGTAGTCAGCTGTAGGGATGGCAGCCATCAACAGTGGGAGTCAGCTGTAGGGATGGCAGCCATCAACAGTGGGAGTCAGCTGTAGGGATGGCAGCCATCACAGTGGGAGTCAGCTGTAGGGATGGCAGCCATCAACAGTGGAGTCAGCTGTAGGGATGGCAGCCATCAACAGTGGGAGTCAGCTGTAGGGATGGCAGCCATCAACAGTGGTAGTCAGCTGTAGGGTTGGCAGCCATCAACAGTGGAAGTCAGCTGTAGGGATGGCAGCCATCAACAGTGGGAGTCAGCTGTAGGGATGGCAGCCATCAACAGTGGAAGTCAGCTGTAGGGATGGCAGCCATCAACAGTGGTAGTCAGCTGTAGGGTTGGCAGCCATCAACAGTGGAAGTCAGCTGTAGGGATGGCAGCCATCAACAGTGGGAGTCAGCTGTAGGGATGGCAGCCATCAACAATAGAAGCTTCATGTCTGTCAAAGAATGATTAAACAGCACATACTGCCCACCTGAGTCATCCCAGTTATTTATATTCCATTCATATATTTCCAGAATGAATACATACAATCGCCATCTCTTAGTTCCTTTTGGCCTGGACAGCGCACGGGACTATTCCGACTTCTGGCCCAGTTACGACCCTGACCACATCGGCGAACACGTCAAACAACTCACCGCCGAATACATGTCAAGAATGGGTCTTCCATGAAACTCTGGAATAAGTAACCTGAAATAAACTGGTGCTACTTTTTCTACACAAGTGAATAATGTGATGCAAACAAACAAGTGATTGTTTTAGTGACAGTTTATGTATAGTATAACAAATTACTGTTTCATAGGATATTTGGGTTGATTATCTTGTTTTGTTTTCTGTCTATTGTGAGTTATTGACATAATTTGTGAGAGTAGATACCAGATAATATTTTTGAACTACGGTACACATGTGAAGAATTGCTATATATATTGCTATCACATGGTCTTTGTTTTATAGTTTATATTATTACATATAAGCCACACATTATATATATAGAAATTTTCCCTAAAAAAAAATATATATATATTGATAACCTTTAAATAATTCAGAACATAATAATTTTCTTGTTATATAAAACTCTATATTTTGTGTGTTGTAAAATGGCCATATGTAACAGCACTTGCACAACACTCACCACCTCCTGTACTGCTGCTTGGTGAACATCTAACGAGCATCTGTTATAACTCTTATTGTGTTTATTTACTATTTACTCTCACTGTAACTACCTATCTGTTCTAAGTGATAAATACAGTTACAGTAGTGTGTATTGTAGCGGTATGTGTTTGTTGTGTAGAGGACCGGTAGAGGGAGTTTGTTTGTGTAGAGGACCGATAGAGGGAGTTTGTTTGGGTAGAGGACCGATAGAGGGAGTTTGTTTGGGTAGAGGACCGATAGAGGGAGTTTGTTTGGGTAGAGGACCGGTAGAGGGAGTTTGTTTGGGTAGACACGTGATGCCGGCGTCTTTCCCATGTAAAGAATATTTTCGAGTCGGAGAAGGTGTCCTGTCGTGTGGGTAATGATAGTAATATACGTAGTATAGTTAGTCTCCGCGTTGTCCAAAGATTAAGGTTATGGGGTAGTATACTGTACTTACAGAGTCCCTTAATTTATGGATAAATTTACGAAGGCTCAATTTACGAGGGATTTATTTACAAGACTGATTTATGAGGGATTTATTTACAAGACTGATTTACGAGGGATTTATTTACAAGACTGATTTATGAGGGATTTATTTACAAGACTGATTTACGAGGGATTTATTTACAAGACTGATTTACGAGGGATTTGTTTACAAGACTGATTTACGAGGGATTTATTTACAAGACTGATTTACGAGAGATTCATTTACAAGACTGATTTACGAGGGATTTATTTACGTATAGTTGTCTAGAATGGAATTTATGTTAATCGAGCGACACCCTTATTCCAATGTTTATTTCCTCGGTCATCTGTGGTGCCTGTGGTCAACCTAACCTAACCTAACTTAACTTAAGCTCGACTGCCAACCTGTATATCAATCCCTTATTGTAATATGCAATAATCTCATATGCAATCTTTCATTACTGACGGTGATGGTGAGAAAATTACAGTGAACCCTCAAAGATCCAGACTTAAGGGGGGAGACCACCTGTTGGGAAAAGCAGATTGTCCGAATCTTCCGGTGACTGTACTAAATGTATAAAATCGGCAAATAATTATATAAAAAACACCAAAAATACATTACATATTATCCAAAATCCGGATTTACCGGATCCGAATCTTGAAGGGTTTATATAAGAAGTTTTAACATAGTATACTACTTTTTGGAACAGCATTGATGAGGGATTATTAAGTGAAGTACAGTCTTGTTACTGCTCATCACCTCTCCTGCCTTTATTACCTAGATTATAATGAGGTCATCTTAGAAGCAGTGTGATTCATTTGTTTTTTTCTGTGTGTGCCTTATTGACCCTGAGTATGTAGTTGTAAATGGTAGTATGTATTAATTATGGTAGTACAGTATGTATTAGTTATGATAGTGTATAGTTGTATGGTAGTATGGAATTATAACAGTACTTAGACAGGAAAAATCATCACTTAGGGAAATAATCTCCTGTACTGCCATTATATAATAGAGTTATGTTGTTTTATGTATTATTATAATGAGTCGCTTATTGAGAACTGACCAAGAATGATTATGATGACTTATTGTTCACTAACTCTTAAATCACAGCCATCATCAGTGGTAGTTAGCTGTAGGGACGGTGGCCATTGTCACTGAAAATTTCATATTTCTTGCATAACATTTCTACACATATAAGGCAGAGTAAGGGATCCTTCGCCACCAGTTCAGGGTTAAAGATAAAGCAGAATTAATCTTAACTTGATGTAAAGTCCAATGTTAGTTGTCAAGTTTAAAAATGGATATGGTTGAAAAATAATGGTTATTTTCTCTAATAATAAATGCCTTTTGCTGGCTAATGTAAGATGGCCAGAGTCAGACAAGTAGACACGCACACACTACACCACGTTCTCACTTCATTCACCGAAATTCATAGATGTGTTTTGCTCAGCTAACAACAACAAGCATCACTTAGTATACCGAACAGTAGACCCTTGCCATTTGCAGGTTTGCGATTCACGATTTCAACGATTTGCGGTAAGCAGATGGTAACTATGGTGGCTAGATTGCAAGCCTTTTCCCACAGCGCAACGAGTCACCCCACAGCGTCCCCTCTCCCTCTGTTCGCACCCAACCATTGCCTGTGACGCACCATCTTGTGTTGTTCTCTCAAAACTTTTAGTGTTTCTATGTGAAATGATCCCTAAAAGACTGCCTAGTGTCAGTGCTAGTGATTCTTGTGGAGTGAAACGTTAAAGGCAGAAGTCAGTGATGACCCTGACAAAGAAAATTGAATTATTGGACAAGTTAAGGGAGGGGATGAGTGCTGCCGTGGCTGGTTGGTTCTTTGGTATAGGTATACAGTAGTGCACTAAGGTTGTATAAGTTGCTATTCACGGTTTTGCCTATTTTGTGCCATTCCTTGGAATCTAACCTCCATGAATAACAAGGGTTTACTGTATACAACCATTCACAACTTTATAAACAACCACGATATCATTTAATTAATATAACTCCTTAACAATTACAGAAACACCAAGAGAGGTTATTTTTATAAAGGGTTTTTCAGTATAATGTCTGTGTAATATTAGAATTGTTCTCACATAATGTACTATTGGGTTAACCTCTCTGAGTATGAACTGATGTGTATGTTGTACAGTATAGTTTGTGGTGGTGTTTTTCAAGTCTCTTTCTCTCTCTTCTCTTATCACTCTATCTCACTCTCCTCTTCTTGTTTCTCTCTATCTATTCTCTTATGTCTCTATCTCTCTCTCTCTCACTCTTCTCTTCTTCGAGGCAACTCAACCAATCATTGAACAGTTGAAAAAAATTTATCACCATCTGCCGTAAATAATCCAGTGTGTCAGGTTACCGGCTCATTCCGATCTTCATTTCCTATCCATGTCATAATATACACTAGGAACGAGACCATTTATAATATATACCTTAATGAACCACCTGGAGAATAGCCCCCCCAATTCCCTTAGATTGTTTAAGGGTGGTTAAACTACAATCTGGTTATGCTAGGCGTCGGATGATCACTTAAGTCGGGGTGAGGTGATCTGCAGAGGTTAATATTGCAAAATGGTCTTCCTTGATAGTGTTGGTTGTACAGTATATCACTTCTCTTCTGTAGTGACTAACTCAGGAATTTGTACTTCATTGTCATAAGAATTTGGGTTTTAGGTCATATTTATACGAACATTCTGTGATAGTCAGCCATTCTATTGATCAGTGTTAGTTAGTTAGTTAGTTGCTATGGCTGTGGTTTCTCAACATACTATGCAGGGTGTGGCATTTGTCGAACACCATACTGTACAGAGGGTGATCATTTTGTTCCATGACTTATGAGGCACCCTGTATAAATATTCATAAACTTGCCAAAAACACTTTTATTAAATGCATAAATTAATATGATTGTTTACTTCCTTGTTTAACATACATTGATTTATTAGGTTCTAGTATATTATGTGTTAAGATTTTGTACATTGAAGAAAGTACAATGTTGTGTGGTGATTATTTTTATACTGTATATTAAAACTGTTTCACCTTTATGCAAGTGTTTGATGGTAGTGGGTAGTTGGTCTTTCTGCTATTGTTATTACTGTGATTGTATGGCATTACAAGACTCTGCCCATTTTAAGCTGTTATTATTATACTGTGTTCTGATTACATTACAGGTGTTGCCCTTTATTTATGATAGGGTTGTGTTCCTGGATACCACCGACGTATATCAAATTAACATAAACCGGCAGCCTTTTACCTTGGGTTTCAGTGGGATACGTTCCTGACCTGTCCAACACAGTAAAGGCTCTCCAACATTAATTAAATAAATGCAAAAAAATTAAGCAACACTCATATCATTAAGCACCAACTACTGTAGTACCACGTTGGAAACACCGCTTCTTGTCCAGTCAGTGAAGTTAGGCAACATTGGGGCTCCTGGGCAGAGTATGCAGTTTGGTTCGGTACAATTGATTTATCGTAATTCGTACCAAAGGAAAAATTTCGTACCTGATTTTGTATCCCCCAAACAAAATGTAGCCCAATTTAAGGTGTAGCAATACAAGAATAATTATACAGTAGTATTAACTTAAGCATTTGTGTGTGCATACGTGCGCTGGCAGGGGCAACTCCCCCTGGGACAATGTAATTTTGTGGGTCTCACTGGCTCATTGAGTGTGGCCAGATCTGACCTGACCTGACCTTATGACTTCATCTGACCTGACCTGAAGGCTGGAGCACAACTGCACTGCCCCAAGCTATTGTCTTGGCCATGTGGCGAGCCAACATTTCAAGAGAGTGGCTTGGTTCGAAATGGTACAATGAAAGTACAAAAAAATAAACATACGTTCGTAACGTACCAAACTTTGAGAAAAAACATCAAACTGTAATATCAAACTGAACTTTTATCACCTTCATAACCGTACCGTACCGTATTGCACGCTCTGCTGCTGGGTGAGCCCTGAGACCACCTACAGTAATGCTGTCTTAAGGACACTACTGGAAACAAACCATTCATGGCTTTGTCAGCTGTCCTTGCTTAAACTGACTGAATATCAGTTATTATTATTAATGTCTTGAACCATTAATATACAGGTGCATCAGGTGAATCTATTGGCTAGCACACTATCCTGCCAATGATTTTTTACTTAAATACTTGAAATGCTGTAAATAATCTTGGTATAACGTGACAGCCAACACCTGCCTCTGATCACAATAACTCACAAAACGTTTAGGGTGAATTTGCAGTAAGTTTACAGTATACTCTGGTAATGTAGGTAGTTATTCTTCAGCACCGTGTGTGTACACTGCTAGACACTCCTGTCCAAGGTGTGACTTAGGCATGTATGTGCAGATTCTGAATATATGGTCCACGATTTGATTGCAGAGTAATTAGTGGCCGTAATGACACTTGGAAGATTTTAATGACATTTTTCAATGCTAATTACTCATCAACTATGGGTTTCCAAGGTGTGATTTAGGTTTTTTTTTATTCTGGAAATACTGAAAGCATACTTTTTGTGTACCAATGGGGCCCCTGGTAGTCCCATGAGGCCACTGGACTTGTTAGGGTCCCTGGGGACCATATGATACTCCTACAGGACCCTTGTAGGACATTGGGGCCCATGGTAATCTTGTGCAGCCTCTGGGACCCATTAGCAGGTATATGTGACCCTTGGGGCCCTCTAGTAGTCTCATGGGGTCCCTCGTTGTCTTATTGGGCCTATGGCTCTGGTAGGCCCCTGGGAACCCTTGGTAGTCCCATGAGACCCCTGGTATTGTTAGGCTTCCTGGGTCACCCTGGTATGACCCCTTGGAGTCCCCTGGTAGTCCTATGAAGCCCCTGGGACTGGAAGTGCCATGGGGCCCTGGTACATTCCCTGCTGGCCTCTGGTGGTCCCCAGAAGACCCAGTGGGACCTCTGAGTCCCATGAGCCCCTGGCTCTGGGGGGACCACCTGTTAGTCCCATGGGGCCGCTGACCCTGATATGCTTCTTGGGGACACCCTCTTAGTCCCAAGAGGCCCCTGGCCTTAGTAGGACCCATGTGGGCCCCTAGCCCTGGAAGTGCCCCTAAGGGCCATTGGTTCCAAAGGACCCCTGGCATCAGTGTTTCTACATAACCACAGTTACAGTGTACTGTGTCTGTCATTAATCTCGTTCATACATCTGGTTGGACGCGTGTAGAGATGCGTGGACAGTGTTTATAAGGCATCTTTACTTGGTAGTCAAAGCGGTAACTTAAAAAAAATAATATTGCAATGTTGGTCGTGGGTGAAGGTGTTCGGACAGGTATGACTTCGTTGTCAAACAATAACAATAATATTGCAGGTATAAAACTATACTATTAAATAAAAAAATGTATTTTCTCACGATTATATTTTTGTCTTTATAGATATAAAATACTGTACATGTAAATGATCCAGGTTGTGGATGAAGAATATGTTTGAGTTGCTGCGAGGGTTGGAACAGGGAACCAAAATGGCGGACGTGTGAGGTGGCTGCTACGACTTGACAGTCCAGGAAATAACCTCCTGAGCCGTCGGTAAGACATTTATTAATATTATTATTGTCATATAAATAACGTTAATAATACCGAGTAGTTGTTGGTATATTATTAACCTGAGCTAAAGTGTAATTAATGGTTAATTTAGTCTATTGTGTTGGGTCGCCAGGCACAGGTATCTTTTATATCAAAACTTAATGATAAGCTGCAGTCACATTCATAAGGTAAGGTAGATTCATTTATTTCAGTTGTCCATCACATTATAAGGTAGAGTTTCATTTATTTCAGTTGTCCATCACATTATAAGGTAGAGATTCATTTATTTCAGTTGTCCATCACATTATAAGGTAGAGTTTCATTTATTTCAGTTGTCCATCACATTATAAGGTAGAGTTTCATTTATTTCAGTTGTCCATCACATTATAAGGTAGAGTTTCATTTATTTCAGTTGTCCATCACATTATAAGGTAGAGATTCATTTATTTCAGTTGTCCATCACATTATAAGGTAGAGTTTCATTTATTTCAGTTGTCCATCACATTATAAGGTAGAGATTCATTTATTTCAGTTGTCCATCACATTATAAGGTAGAGTTTAATTGGTAAATTATTGCTTTCAGACAACAGGGGATCTTAGGAGTTTATCTTTGCGGTCAATAGTTAGACAAGCCTAAGACGTCATAATTTTATAAGACGTTTGTGAGGGAAACGTCGTAGAAGAGAAGCGTCTTAGGTTTGTCTAAATTATTGATTGGAAAAATAAAATTCCTAAGAATCCCCTGTTTTTCAATGCCGCCCTTACCGTGTTGTGTTCAGTACCATATCACAAGTTATCTATTGCTTGTGTAGGAAAAGTTGGCAAGACAGTGAAGAAGAAATACTGTACACTGTGTTTCACTGCAACAACCAATCGTACTCTCATGTGCCACTTCAAGATAGTTGCTTTCATGGTAGCAGATGTCAAGTTAATTCTTTCTCTGCCCCAGCTAGGAAGTTAGGTAAGGTTGGTTAGGTTAGGTTCTATACATTGTTGTATCATACTTATCATCCAAAGAACATCTGTGGAAACAATGAACTAACTCAAACAACTCCTTCTGGTGTTAGTTGTCTGCCAACATCTATGGTACACTAGCAACAACAGTGATTTCTTCCAAAGTGGACACTGACTGGGCAGGGTTTGAAGATGAGGGAAAATGTGGGGTTAAAACACCAACAAACCTTACTTAACCGAGCAGTCATAATACAGTCCGGGGAAATTAGGAAAAAAGCTGAACTAATTCATAATGAAATGATACTTGGTAGAAATAGTGAGAATACGTTTATAAACAACATGCCAAACATCCCGAGGTGAGCATTTGTTGCCATCCTGAAGAAAATGGCGGCCAGTTGCAGTTTTTAATGTTTTACTCATTGACCGTTCATTTTGAGAGATGACACTTTATAACAAAATAAAAGAGCATAAAATTCTGCACCTTTTGGTATATTCAGCTATTGTTTCCAATTAAGACTCCAAGAAAATACAAATGTTCACTACTGGCCACACCCCTCGCTATATTTACTTCGTCTGGTACTGTTTTTCACTCCACCCATGAGGTACAGTATGTGGCACATTTTATTAGTGAAGTATCCCCTGTTGGTTTATCCCAGGATTAGTGTTTTATGGCAGTTTCATTCTCTTTGCAACTTGTTCAGTACTGGTATAGCTACACATGACATTTGTGAGGCAAATTCAGTGCCGTTGTGATAATTAAGGTCAGTATCAAATGTGCCTTCATTCTCAGGAGTATCACAGAATGTTCCACAACCAAACTGTGACGGGTCTCATCATTGTCACTGTCAGTGTCAAGAATAGAGATCATCATCTATGTCATGTTCATCAAGATCATCGTCTTGGAAAGTCATGTTGTAGGACATACTGTTGGTACATGCTGTTCCTTGACAGTAACTGCATATATCTGAGACATCTTATGCCATCAGTTGTTCTATATCCCTACTCTCTTTCCCTTGTATGATGACATCTTTCAGAAATGTTTGAAGGGACAGAGGGATCACTTTTCTTACATCATTCAGAAGGTCTGCTGGGGGTGGCACTTATCGTTGTTTATCTTCCTTCATAATGGCTGCTGCTCTCAGACGTCCTTCATTTTCATTTCTTTCCTTTGAAGCGTAACAGGAATCAGATAAACCTGTGTCACTAAAACAGACTGCAGTAAGTTCATATGTAACATCAGAAATAATTCTATTGTCACCATAGTTCTCTATTAATTTCTTCTTTAATGTCACTTCTGCCGGCATATATTCGTCCATTAACTGCATTAATTCCCGTAATGAAAATTGGCAGCCATTGCTGTCCCCAATGAAAGAACACACTCAGGCAAATGCTGATGCAAGGTCTTTCATCGGT